ACAGCTTGCTACACATGCAAAAAACAAAGACTCAGCGCTATTAAAACGGAGGATATTCAAACTAGCCTGGAGGGGTAATAGTGTAGGTTCAATTACAATCGGAGGGTAATATCTAGTCATAGTATGGCCGTCCAGTGGCCGTCTAGTGATCGATATAGCCGTATATAGGTAGTGCTGTAGCCGTCCAGTGGCTGTAATATGGCCCTGGTGTGTCATGTTTTGGCCGTCCAGTTATCGTGCCAAAGCCGTCCAGTAGTCATACTGTGGCCGTCCAGTGTTCATTTTGAGGCCGTCCAATGTTCGTCTAGTGTTGGATCTCTGTTTCTAATTTTTTTTTTTTGTATGCCATGCTCCTGGTTCAGTTGAGTAGTTTCGTTAGCCGATGTATGTTTGCGTGGTTTTATTGTTAGGGAACACATTTTCGTGAAAAAAAAAATGTTAACAATAAAAAAAAATATCACAATGGACTTAAGTCATTGAATGGTATTGATCAAACCAGGCTGCTTATTTAATAAACATATGTGCTAATTTCATTCAAGGCAACATATGTCGCATAATGACGCGACCTAGTTCTTCACATGATGTATGTTACAGACGGTGAACTACACAAAGTCTGAAGAACTCGTGTAGTAGTGTGTCGCACCGCCAGAAGAAATATTGTCCCGTGTTGTCTAAAAAAAGCCAAACGCGCGGCCTTTCAGCCTTTTGAGTGTATTCAGTTGTCATTTACAGGGAGATAATTCAAAAACGTCCTTGTAATATTAATCACCGATAACTGAGGCTCCAGGCTTCAACCAGCCCCCCCCCCCCGCCCTTTGCTCATCTAGTGCAGCGTAATGCACCATGGGAGAAAGAATAAAGTCACGTGACAAGCTGCCCAGCGCGTGGCATGCGCTATTGTACGCGATTCTCAAAAGGACAACACGGGTTTTGTGATGGAGTTGTGTGTTGGGGAGGTGTGTGGAGTTGTGTGTTGGGGAGGTGTGTGGGTTGTGTGTGGGCGAGATGTGTGATTAGGTGTGATGGGGAGAGGTGTGTTGGAGTTGTGTGTTGGGGAGGTGTGTGGAGTTAAGTGTGTGGGTCATGTATTAGTGAGGTGTGATAGGTAGAGGGGGGTGTGTCGGAGAGATATATCGGAGAGGTATATTGGAGAGGTGTATTAGAGAAATGTGTTGGAGAGGTGTATTAGAGAGATGTGTTGGAGAGATGTGTTCTAGATTGTGATTAGAGCTGACAGCCCTCTAGACTACACACACGAGTCTGTGGTGACGTAAACACAGACTCAAGATGAGCCGTTTTTTTTTTTGACACCTGGCCCGTGAGCAGATGGCGCGTGCTAGCAACAACAGTAGCGTGTTGTTATTTCCCCTGACAAGCGCAGTCACTCGCGTGTTTTCTATTGCGTCCCCTTTCTCCGACTTGGGTAACCGGCACACTGGTAATATTTTGACTGACAACAGCCGGAAGTTGATTTAAACCCCGCCATTTTGTTTTCGCGAGACATTGTATTGTGTGTAACTGTGGAGGGGGTGGAAAGGGATAATAAAACGAAAGAGAAACTAGGGGCTGAGCAGATGTTTTTTGTTGAAGGTTACTCGGTACTCAACATGGGGATCGTAACTTTTAATTTAAATTAAAAGCTTAAGGGAGACAACAAAAGAACAAAAATTGCTACCATTGCCCTTCTGGAGAATGGCGATACCTTAATCATTAAAAAAAATACTATTAAAAACCTGACATTGAAAACAACAAGTTTAGAGTCAACGAATTTGCGTGCCAATATCCAATCCACTTTTTAAAATGATGGTCTCGCCGTTTCAAGAAATAAATCTAACCTTTATAAAACCCATTTCATATACCAAATAGTAACCGTAATACTAAGTAGTACTCAGTGTAACAATACTGCTAATCGGTATATTGGGTTTACGAATGTTTTCATAAGCGCTATTTAAAGTCTAATGTGTTAGCCTTGTAGCCGTATTTAGCTCGTCGTACGAGCGTATTCATTACACCACCGCCCACATTCCCCGTCATACTGTTGCCGATTCTCGACAATGGCCTACAGTTTCTAAAAAATCTGGCCAACCAAAAGCCGACACAGACGTGAGCACAGCTGCCATCTGACCCAATTGCCTAAATTAGCCTAATTTGAAACTTAAGGTAAAACCTAACGGCGACTAATTAGTCATCGCTCACGTGATACTCCCCGCCCCTGGTTTATGGGACACACGAGCCGAGAACGAGGCTGTGGCCGTAAATCCATTACACTATTGTCTTTCAGGTTTTTAAGGTCAAGGCTTGCCTTTGTACGTATATGTATGTCACTACCGAAGTTTTTTTGTTATTTTTTATTTTTTTGCTTTTTTGTAATAGAGAAAAAAAACTGGCGCTATTGTTATGAGTGATTCAAATTGTATAACACTAATGTCGTCATCAAATTATCTTTAATTAAGCCTATCACTTATTCTTTGATCTTCTGTATCCCCCCCCCCACTCAACCCCCACCCCACTTACGACTAATGAAACATCAGATCACTTATATCCCCGTCATTCACATCTTTATTTCTACTTCCGCTTTATGACTCAGAAATTTCACACCGTCGCCGAGGTGTCGCATGAGACGAGAAATCTCGCCACAGCGAGAGGAACCAGCGCCGAGAGACCTTAGATACGAAATGTACAACAAACACGACAGGGGAAGTAAATGCCCTTTCTTTTTTCCTCGGTTTCATCTTATCTAGAAGAGAAATGACGTCATCATTAATAGTGTAGAGTGCCGCAGCAACAGGCCAGCGTTTAAGATATTGGTTGAAAGCCATTGGATGAGAGGAGGGGTGGGGGTGGGGATAAAAAGATGGAAGAGATATTTGCAGAGCGTCAACATACGAAGTTGATTTGTTTTAAAAGTGGGAACGAATGTCTTTTTTATCCGGCTATTTAAAAAATAAACAAGAGCTGTTTCATCATCGTGACCAATTTAGATTTATTTCCAAGACACACGCTTCAACTTAAGTTCTTGGTCAGAGATAAAAATATGATGAGATTGAGAACACTAAAAATAATATGTATATATATATATATATATATATATATATATATATATATATATATATATATATATATATATATATATATATATATATATATATATATATATATATATATATATATATATATGACCTAAAGTATGTCAGGATATCTGTTGGCCACTTGAGTACGCGACTTAGTCACAGGAGCAGATACCAATAATAGTCCAATCAATTAACCTTTAACCTTTTGTATGTTAGTGCTTGCTTTTTCCCCCCAAGATCTCAGTTTACCAATAATTTATTTTCACACTGGGGCAGGGGAGGTAAACAATACACGGGGTTGCGGTCAGCAAAGGTCAAGGTTCAAGTGGCCAGGCGGAAACAGTGCAAGCGATTGCTGATGCCAAATTGGCTTAGTGCGGGCACCGTGGTCTGGTGACTGATGACCGGGGTCAATATTTCCGATAACCGGACAATTGTTCCGGCGTTATTTAAGACTGGGACAGAGATTATTTTACTATGATAAATTTAGTGTTACTACTTGCTTTTGTGTGGGACGGAGTGGTCTTGCGGTAGAGAGCTAGACTGCTAACCCGCAAGTCTCGAGTTCGAATCCGGGTTCAAGTCAGTAGACCGTCCCTGAGCCCACCCAATTCTGATGGGTACCTAACTCAAGTTAGGGAAAGTAAAGGCGGCTGGGCATAGTGCTGACCACACTGTCTCTTTATATGCCGAGGTCACAGAAACAAGTGAACTCTACTAACTACTTCAATCAATTCACTTGCCCCATAGACCGTCAGGTCATAATTTTAATTATGAAAAGTCTTGTTTGTTAATATTTTTTTTTTGCTATGCCCTACACAACGTGTCTGATTCACACTAACAAAAATATTGGTCATTAAACAAAAGTATTGTCTGACGTGTGAAAAAAATATACCCGTTTATATAAATATGAAATACGTAGTTTCAATCGTGCACCATATCTAAGTACTAGTAGTGTCATCGCTATTAATAGTTGCACGAAAGTAATATGTGGGTGTTATAAGTGCTGGCTCATGCTTTAACCTTTTTTTTTTCAAATCCAGACCATTCAACAAGTTGATTCCCGTCCCTCCCCCCCCCCCCCCCCGCCCACTAACACCACCCACAACCCCCCCCCCCCCTTCCACCCCCCCCCCCCATTTTTTACGCTAACCTCGTACATCGTCGGTACACTTTACTAGTTCAGCGCCCCCTTCCCCCATCCAACAAACCCCCCATGCATCAAGCCGATCAATACACCCCATGGGGATGATCTTAGAGGAGCGACTTCTGGAGCCATTCATGTCACCCCCCCCCCCCCTTTCCCCACACCACAAACAGAAACTAAATCAAAAATATGACCATGATCAATGCTGCCCGCGATACTCACGGAGATAAACTCACTCCAAATGGCCCGTTTACTAAAAAAGTATTAATAATAAAACGCGCTGTGCCGACGGTGAGGACTGGCGAGAAAGTAGTGACGTCAAACACGAGTTTATAGTGATGAATCACGAGTGTTTGTTCATCAACTTTGGACGCGAGTGGTTGATGGCGGATTGCTGGGGGGGGGGGGGGGGAGTTGTTACCAATGTAAACAAATCGAGAATGTGATAACAAGATGGACAGGAGAAAATGGAGATGAGAGGTTGACGACTTAAGATGATGGACATTGATAGCGATCTGCTGCGGAATCGTGCCGGGGTTAGGATTTTCGGGTATTACCGAAAGCGAAAATCTAATTTAAAAACCCAACGCCTGTCCTTATGGAAGTGTCGGCGTGTCAAGAGTTTGTAAAGATGTGAGAATGTGAGTTGTCGCGTTTTTTACGTGATCCACAACACAAACAACATGTGTCGGCCAATCTGGTGGTGTTGATGTCGAGGGGCATTATGGGTACAGATCTGATTAGTAAGGTAAATTGGTTAACAAGTGGAATGGAATCCTTACCTTGAGTCCAGGTGGTGATGTCGTTCCCTCCGTAAGCACGGTTGATGATGTAACCATGCTTTGGAGGGGAGGTAAGTGAGTAGTGGATCTTGTCGTTGACGTATTCATCCTCCTTGATGCTTAGAATACGACTGCTAAATCTAAATCCAAGATGGTCGCCTTCCAATCTTGTAAGGTACGACGCGCCTTTGTTTACCTTCACAATGTGAAACTGGTTGATGTTTGGAAAAATTTGGATGGTGACTGTTTGGGGGTTAACGGTCGGCTCGGCTTCGGGGTAGGCGTAGAAGTCGGGGTGGGTGCCGTCCGACACGGTGAAGCTGAAGCTGTCGTTGCTCGACTCTGAGCCGTCGTGCTGGTAGCTGATGTGTTTGTTGGTGAGGTCTGCGGCCGTGAAACTGGTGACGTCGCGAGATAAGGTGTGCAACAGGACACCTCGGGATGGTGGTGTGGTGATGGTGACGATCACGTTGGATGGATCGGTGTCACGATCTTCGATCCTCAGCTCTAACGGCGTGATCACCTTCACGCCGCCTTGTTTGATGTGTAACGACTGCGAGATCACCAACGGCTTTCCGTTTTCTACATCGCTGACGGACACTTGGACAACAGCGATGATGCGGTTGGTGGAGTCATTGACCTCTAGTTCAAATCCGTCCACCACCATCTCCTCCTCCCCTGTGTAGACGTACTGGATCCTCCTGGCGTTGAGCTGGGAGTCTGTGAACCTGGACACAGGCAGCCCCGGCGTGCTCACAGATTCTAAATGCCCTCGACTTGGCGCTCGCTTGATGATGAACGTCAACGATTCACCAATGATTTCCCCAGCGCCGAGGTTCTCGGGACTCAAGACAACCTCACCGGATTGGTATACGTCCAGTTTGGCGCTGTGGACCTTGGGTAGAGTCGCCTCGATGCTGTCCACCTCCACGTAAAAATTCCGATCGTTCAGATAATTCAGCTGGTCGGTGATGTCGAACTTAATCAAGTCCCGGACGCCTTCTAAGTCTGTGTGAACGTACTCAATCTTTTGTTTATCAATATCCCTCTGCGTGAAGCTCTGATCCTGTGTTAAATTCGTCACCACGTTGTCGTCGACTTTCCTCAGGTATCCGTACTTGGGCTCTTGTTTGATGTAGAATAAAATCGTGTCTTTTCTAGAGTCCTGGTCCACCGCTTTCAAGACGGTGTTCGTAATCTTCTTCGCCCGTCCGGGACTGATTTTTAACCCCGCGTTGACCACTAGCTTTGGCGCTTCGTCGTCTAAGGACATAATTTTGATGTGGACGGTCTTGGTCAGGTTGTGGACGCCGTCGGTCAGGCAGAAGGTGAAGGAGTCCTCTGTGGTGTCGCTGTCGTCGTGGTCGTACCCGATGGTGGAGTCACCGGAAATGTCGTCTAGTGTGAAGCTGTCGATCTTGAAACTCCCGCCCCGGGTCTGACGCACGACTTTGCCGTGTTTCGGCGGCTCGATGATGACGAACGTGTGCTGGTCAAGTGGGAGGTCAAGGTCGGTGACTTTTAAACTGGGGAGGTCAATTCTCATGTTCCCGCCCTCTATGACGAGAAACTGACCCAGAGAGATCTCGGGGGCCTCGTCGTTGGCCGGGCGGATGGTGACGGCGAACACGGTGGTGGGGGAGCAGCTGACCGCGTCACAGCAAGACAAGCTGAAGGCGTCGTCCACCGGCTCCCGCTTCCGGTGCAGGCTCTGGACGAAGTTCACCTGCCCGGCTCTCAAGTTGGCGATGGTGAAGGACGATACAGGAATACCTCGGGTAGACTTCTCGTGGCTGGCCGCGTCAATCTCCAGGTACCCGTTCTCCGGCTGCCTCTCGATAAAACACAGGATGTCTCCGTCCTCCGTGTCCTGGTCCGTTGCGTCCAGATGACGTGGTAAAATGGCGGCCTTTTGACCTTCGGAAACCTCAAAGGGAATCCCCAATGAAACAACAGGCGGGATGTTATCCACGGGCAGAATTCTCACCTTTACCGAAACTTTAGCGGCGTTTTTATTAAAGATGGTCGTCTTCTCAAAGTCTAGAACCGTCAGTTGAAAAACGTCAACTTTTTCGCTGAAGCCGATCTCTCCGCCCACATGCTGGTACACAACAGTACCGGAAATCAAATTCCCGAGCGTGAACTCCCGAATCTTTTTCCCACTCTGAATAATCTCCCCTTCTGTAGGATGCAGCTCTAGTTTGAAGGTGACGTTCGAGGGGTTCTCGCTGCCGCGGGCTATCTGTATCTTGTTCAGGGACACGGAGCCTTTCTCTGGCACCTCCAGGATCACCTCGGACAGTCCAGACTTCAAACTGACCGGGACGGATTTCTTCGGCGCCGCATTTTTCACTTTGACCTTGACCGTGGTTTGAATGTGATAAATGCCGTCCGTGACGTCGAGCGTAAACTCATCGTCGCCGTGTTTCCCGTTTTGGTTCTGGTACGTGACGCGGCCCTCTTTGATGTGACTTCTGGTGAAGTAGTCTCCCTTCTTCATCTTGTTGTTGCCGTACCTGACCAACCCGTGCTGCGCATATTTCTCCAGGTAAAACTTCACATCCACGTCGCTGGGTACGTTGATAGTATCCAAGGTCAAGGCCACCGTCTCGCCCTCACCGACGGTCAAACCTTTGTTGCGAATTTTGAAGCGGTGGAATTCGATGGCGTCCAGAAATATGATGAAAATTTGATCTTTTTGGGAATTTCCGTTTTTATCCTCCACGTCGAAAACGAACTGAAGGGTACGGCTAATCAGACGGTGCTCTAAGGCCGGGGACAGGTAGCAGATCTGGTCCTCATTGACCTGCTTCTGCGTGAACGTGCGTAACGACTGGCTCTCCCCGCAGAGCCGGATATATCCGGTCTCCAAAGCCGTGTTCTCGTCCGTGTCGAAGACCTGTTTGGTGATGACGTACTTGATGTCGCGAGGGTTGTAGCCCGAGTTCTTCTCGTAATTGAGGTACCTGCGGCCGAGCTTGACCTCGCCGGTCTGCGACACGACCATGTTCAGCTCCACCTCGTTGGCCAGGTGCGGCGGCACCGTGTCGAACGGGTGCACCTTCACGGTCAGCTGCTTCACCTCAGACCTGTTGGGAGGCTCCCCGCCGTCCAGTAAATAAAACCTCATCACGTCTGTGCTCATCTTTGAAGACCTCGGCGCCTCCAGTTTGTAGAATATCAGCCCGTTGATGATGTCGCTTTGTGTAAACTCCTCCACCGTTTGTTCGTAAAATCCGTTGTTCAGCTGCCAATCTTCCGGGAACTCCGGCGCCTGGAATTGGCGTTTCATAATGACGCCATCTTGCGAGAAAGGTTCTTTAAGGATAAATTTCACTTGTGAACTATCGCTGTCTGTGTCACTTGCGCTAAGAATAGAAGGAGTTATTTTTACCAGTGGGTTTTCATAAACTTCTAGGCCAACGTTTATATTTAGAATCGGGGATTCGTCGTCTTTTGGTGAAATCCATATGGGGAAGAGAAATTGGAATGAGTTGCTGCCATCTGTTAAGCCCAAGATGACGTTATCGGAGTAGGCGTCGGAATCGTCGTGTTTGTAGCTGACGGCACCTGCGTCCAGGTCGTCTGCCGTGAAGTATCGTCTGCCGTCAGGGATTATAAGACGTCCGTGGTTCACCCCGGAAAAGACCCAAATTTTGACATTACTGGATGGAGTTTTGGATATTCTTAAATTTGTTTCGCTACTTAACGCCGCATCCTTGCCTTCAAATACTTTTAAACCTCTGTTGAGGAGGATTGTGGGAAAGTTCAATCCCAGGAGTCTGATTGTGATTGTGAGTATAAATGGAGCCGACGCTTCACCATCGGCGTCAATGACTCGCATTTCAACGCGGTATTCTTTTGGTAGGTTCATCGTAGGCGGGATAAAAGCAATCTTTAATTCTTGAACATCGCGTTGGTTAAACCATGTTAGTTTTTGTTGGGGGTCGTCGGTGCTGATGAAGTACCCGTCGTCTGTAGCAGAGCTGTTCACCAAGCTGAACGTGAGCAGATCTGTAGGAGTCTCGTCATCCCCTGCCGTCAAGACATCCGGTTTTAACGGAGTCAGCACCAACTGAGACACTTCCATGGTGAGTTTCGAACTCGAGCTAATGAAAGGTTTCCGGTTCTCGGTCCCCGCTGCTATAACTACAAGTTTGTGGAAATATTCCTGTCTCAACCTCTGGCCGTCTCGGTTGTAGATCTGTACGAGGAAGGGGATGTAATCCTTGCTGGGGAAGTCGTCGCCCCCGTTATGAAAGTACTGGATGCCTTTGTTTAGAAACTCCTCACAGTCCACCATTTGCAGGGAGCTGCTGTCGTTTGAGACCAGTCCGTACCTAGGCAGGCCTGACGTCAACGGCAACAACGACAGCCGGCATTGGTCCTGGTTCCTGTCATACGTGAACTCCAGCGAGGATTTGTCTAGAAGTGTACTCACACTTGACCGCTTTTCTACGCGCAGGGGCGTGTTTTTTGAGACCACCTCGAGGGGCGTGGGCGCCACTTTGACGTGTAACGCCACTGGAATGATGGCGGGTTGATTGGGGGAGCCTCGTACGACATGGAGCCTAATGACGTCATACGACGGCAGACGAACGCCGAAATGCGTGTACGTCACCTCCTTGGGGCCGAACCGACACGGGAATTTGGAAGGGGTGAGTCGCCCGGGTCTGGGGATTAACGGGTCACTGTCTAGCACCGCCACGGTACACGGGTCGCTGGCCGTGACGTGAATGTCAAGGTCGCTGGTTCGGACATACGTCGAGCGTCCAACCGGCGCGGTCAGACCTCGGTTGGTGATGTTGAAGCTGGTGTCGGGCGTGAACCCCGATACAGTGAGTACTAAAAAATGGACACAAACGCACGCGCACAACGTGTTACTCACAGCTCGAAGCATGTTAGACTCGCTTCACCTGCTCGCCTCGTGAAATGATGCAACAAAGTGCTTTAACTCGCCGTGTCTGAATCACACACTACACATTACATCCGTGTGAACACCACATCCTAGGGTTAGAACATTGTATCAATCCTCACGAGAAACACAAGGTACTACCATTTTCAGAATCCAGAGGAAAAAAAATCACCGTTACAACCTATATCAACAATCGCTTGTTATCTCTCTCCCCCCTATCCGCGTGTGCGACCATCCACATTCTACTTCCGGATCAGTCAGATTTGCATAGGTTTGTACACAAACACCGCGTGACCATAGCCTCGAAGCGACGACTCAGCCAATCGCGTGCTGGCTCAGCGCGGCGGAGTGCCGCCTCTTTCGTGCGCGTCGGATGAATGGTTTGCGCGCGAGGGCCCGGCAGATGAGCCGAGTCGCACGGCGTGTCCCCACTTGATGAGTACATTGTTAGAGCTCGCTGTGTGGTATGGATGTGATTAGCTGATCACAAACACTAGCCTTTGTTGAGCTCGGCTGTCGGCCATTCTATACTTATCACAGATGGTGTCACTGAATCATTTTGTTAGCTAAATCTTCATTCAGAATCAAGAAAAATTAGGGTTGTTTTTAACTAGTAGTCTACATGCTATGTGTATATATATATATGTTTTTGTTCTAGATAATTGTTGTTCGTTATCAATGAACAACATATCTAAAACACGACGTATGCAGTGTTTCTTCCAGACTTTTTTTCTCCGAGGAAGGGGGGCACTTGATATTTTCGGGGGGGGGGGGCGGTCTACATTTTCCGGGGGGGGGGGGGGCGGAGGACACTAGTAAAAGTCTATGTTTACTAAATACCATCTCGTTCGGGGGTGGGGGGGGGGGGGGGCGAAAAGAGGCTTGGAAGAAACTCTGGATGTATGCATTTTAAAATTAACTTTTCGTAGAGTCTTATCTGCATTAGTCCTTTTGTCTAAGCCGTCCGCTTCTGTCTTGGTCTGTCATCAAAAGGTACTAGGGGAGATCACTCTATTAATTCGCACACAAATTTAGAAGAAAAACAAAACGTCTTTAAAATAAGGTTATTTGATACGATTCGCCGTTTATTAAATGGCATTTCATAACTCTAATTGGGGGTCGTCCATAAATGACGGTGTGTTATGAGTGCTGGGGGGGGGGGGGGGGGGCAGAGGCGTAGCTAGGGGAGGGCGAGTGGGGCGGCCGCCCCGGGCGCCGACCCAAATGGGGCGCCAAAATGGGTAGGACCAGCATGAATAACTATATATATAGCCTGTATATAAATGGAAGGGGGGGGGGGGCAAAAATTTATAGTTCGCCCCGGGCGCCGGAATGTGCCGCTACGCCTCTGGGGGGGGGGGGGTCAGATGGTGTGACGTCACTTTTTTGCATTATAAAAAAGCTATGTTAGAACACGAGTTTTAGTCGTTATTTCGCGTTTTAGAAAACGGTTTTAATAAATTGTAATAGGATGTGATAAAAATACTTCATGTCGACAGTTTTGGAAAAATATCGATGTTTTAAGAAAAATTCAACAGCAATTTTGAGGAGGATTGTAGGCTAGGGTTGTTTTAGGGGGGGGGGGTGTCTGGCTTTTTGTGACGACGTGTGACGGAGGGGAGGGGGGAGGTAAAAATCGTCCAAAAAAGCGTGACGTCATTTATGGATGACCCTTTGATAATAAATATGATGATTTATTTCCCCTCAATACTACAATGTAGCCAAGTCAATCTAAGGGTAATATTGAGTAGGGAATGTATGTAAGGGAAATGCTGCTGTTATATTTGGCTGTGGGGTGGTTTGTTAAAATCTCTGTTATCAACGTTTCTTCAACTGTTAAAATATATTTAGACGTAACGACAAGACAGATAAGCTCCTGTCGCTACTCTATATACATATTTATAAACCTAGCCTCTTCACCCCACCCTAAAATTCCTTACACAACTGTACAATCCAAATACATTTCACAACAATGCACAACACTATAACTTAAATAATGGGACGGCGGCGTGGTTAGGCGGTAGAGAGATAGATTACTACCCCGAAATTCTAGAAGTTCGAATCCGGGTTAGTAGTCAGTAAAATGTCCTGGAGTCCAACCAGCTTTAACTCACGTTAAGGAAACAAAGGCGGCTGGACATAGTGCTGACCACACTATCCCTTTATATGCCGAGGTCTCTGAAACAGATGAATTCTACTTCATCTGCCCATGTGTCTTGGGCACGAACGCAAAAGAGGATGATGATGAGACCTCAAATATATCACACAACAGTATAACACAAATACATAACACAACAGCATAATCTAAATGTATTACTCGACATAATTACCCCAACATTTCTGTAGTGTTAACGGTAGTTGAACTCTGGTTTATTTGACATGATGATTAAAGTGGCTATCTTTTAATGATGGTATAGGATGGAGTGGCTATCTTTTAATGATGGTCTAGGATGGAGTGGCTATCTTTTGGTGACGGTTTAGGATGGAGTGGTTATCTTGTGATAATTAATTTTTGACAATCACATTAATATGGAATTTTCTCTAAAATAAATCTATTGAAAATAGAACTGCTTACAAGGGAAGCAACCAAAGAAATACGCGTTTGTTTTAAAATCTTTGTTGCTTCCCCTATTTCGCAAAAAAAAAATAATTCTTTTACAAGAGACTATGACTTCGTTTTCCTCTGGTAGTGATATAACTAGAACTAGAAGGAAGTTGAAGTCAGTTTTTCTGAGGCTTCCAGTGCTTCTTCCAGGTATCTCTTCGCAAATATATGAGGAGAAATATCGGAGTAAACGTACAGTATAATAATGTTATCACATAAATTCATTTGTTTTAAAATGGGTTAGATGGACATGATGGTAGGACGTAAAACAAATTTGTTAAGAATGGAATGAGGTACAGTCTGTGTGTGCAAACAAACTATAGGGCCGGTAAAATCTAGAAGACAAAAAAAAGCAAGAAAATGGACTCAGGGTCTTCGAAAAAGAAAAAAAAAACCGCCCCTTACAACGGGTAAATTGCTTTGAGAATAGTGCATTTTTATACCATTGTATAATCGTGTTTAATCAGGTTAACATATTAATAAAAATTTATTTTCTTGGGAAAAAGACAGAAATTTTGCAGAATAAATTGCAAAAAGTTATTCCTTATAGAATCTAATATTTTAAACGTCATCTCGCAACTTTTCGGTGAGGCCTGGTTGTGTGATGACCGTTCACATGGTAAACATACAGACGATCCAAAAGTAGGGCCGACACCAAAATTTTAGGTAACCTATTTTTAGTGGGCTTATTTTTACCTTAGGGCTTAGGGGTCCCCCATTATGACATCAAAAACATATCGGGGGTAATCTCACGATATAGGGTGGAAATTATCCAGAAAATAAGCGACAAGTAGAAATCTAGATTAAAAATTAAAATTAAATCTAGATTTTACTCAAACACTCCCCCCCCCCTCAAATTTTACTAGATCTAGATCTAGATCTAGATTCTAGATTTAGATCTAGATTCTAGCTTATATTTATATATTATTTATTATTTTATATTGATCTAGAATCTAGAAATCTAGAGCTATTTTAATAGATTTTTCTATATAATTTAGTAGATCTAGATCTCGCAAAACTTACTACCAATTTACTATTTCAGTAAATTACTAGATCTAGATCTAGGCCTAGGCCTAAATAAATAGTAAATATTAAATAATAGTCTACAGTCTACCTACAGAGTACAGACAGAGTGAGTTCAAAATTTTGTCACCAGTGGGTGACCAGGGAGTTTTGAAGTGTGACCACACTTTTTGCATTTTAAAAAGCTAGAAACTGAATTTATACCATAATCAATGCCCAATTTTATTTCTATCATTGAAATTTTCAATGAATATTTTACTTTGTAATTATTAATTAAGACTAAGACAGAATAGGAAGCCAAATAATAAATATATTTAATTCTTAAGCTAATTACTACAATTAGGCCTACTAATTAGGCCTAAGTAATTATTAATTATTTGTTAGTACTAACTAACTAAGTAGACTACATACTTGAACTGCCACCTTCAAGACCACAAGATTTTTCTATATTTAGTAAACACAACTTTCTATAATCAGCCTTTGAATGTTGCAAGAGGGGCCTGATAGTTCTCTACTGGTAAAAGTTACTTTATGACTTATGCTTTTACAGCAAACACCAAGACAGCTGAGTGAGTACAGAACAGTATATTTATAAAATGAGTGCTAAAAGGAGAGGCAGGCGGTCAAGAGTACCTGCTGATGCACAGAACCCAAATAAGTAAGACTCAATATTTTCTTCTGACATTGCATTTTTATCATTGAATAGTAAAAAAAAATTAAGTCAGAATAAGAATTACCAATTACTCTAATGGATTGTATACTTTCTTTACACTTTTATTATTTAATTTGATGATTCAAATGAATAATACTTAAATTTAATTGAATTGATTACCGATTATCTAATGATAATGACCAAAGTAATAACATGTTAATTATCTTATCTAACATCTTATATTTACATATACAATATTTCCTTCTATTTTTTAAAGCTCAAAACTTATCAATGGGAAGGGTTGTTTTTTCTCTGAGTCAACATTCCAGCGTATTATGGGCCCTGAGCCCACATTTGAAGAGAAAATACTAGCACAGCTTGCCAGGCTAAAGACAGAGAACCGTGAAGAGAAACAAAAGGCAGCTAAACAAACCCACAAAAAGAAAGCTAAAAAGTCTTCCAGTGCTACAGATGGTGAGGCTGAAATAAAAGTTGAACCAAAAACAAGATTACCTCAAGGTACTGTGGCAGATGTTCCACACAGTTTGACTGCAGATATATCAAAGGATGTTGCAGAAGATCTTAAAGCAGATATTCCACACAGCATTATGGGAGGAATCCCATACACTGTTACTGTAGATATCCAACAGAATGTTAAAGCAGATATCCCAGATATTGGAATGGGAGAAAGTCTATTCTGTGTTACTGTAGATATCCCACAGAAAGTTATGGCAGATACTCCACAGAATGTTATGGCAGATATCCCACAAAATGTTACAACAGATATGCCACAGAATGTTACAACAGATATCCCACAGAATGTTACAACTGATACTACACAGAATGTTACAACAGATACTACACAGAATGTTACAACAGATATCCCACAAATTATGGTACAAATGCCATACAATGTTACTGCAAATATCTCAGAAAGTATCTCTGAGATCAATTCTACAGACATGAAACTAACCCATCTTGAATATAATCTAGATGACAGCCTACAGCTTTCAGACAACAAACAAGTATTTATTTCTGAATCTGGCACCTGCGTCAAGGCCGAAGTTTCTTCAAGCTCACAAGCAATCAGCTTGGCTGCTGGCCATGAATCTGGTAGTTCAGTGGTACCACATTCTGGTAGCTTTAACCTGAAGAATGTGCAAGATTTAAGAAGTTTTGAGCAGGGTACTGAGACTATCATAGATTCCTTGAACGAATTAGATTCAAGAAGCTGTGAGGTAGTTCCCAATGAAGAGAAGTCTGAGGAGACTTCTGAAGATTTGTGTTGTCTGGTTATGCCCTCAATTTCTGATGATGATGACAGTGAGGAGGAGACGATAGCTGATCATCTGACAAGGGAATCAAAAGATAAAAGTGTTGATAAAAAACCAAGTACAGTGCAAGAACTTTCTGCATGTGCATCATTGTGTGTTGTGTCCGGTGTGAGTAGCTCTAGTCAAAATGTAGATAGCAATCTGAACAACTCGGATAAGTCCAACTCTACGCAACACTCTGCTCCGTGTGCACCAGATGAAAACTCCATGCAGAAATCTTCTTCATATGTGCAAGATGTCAACTTCCCAATGCAGAATTCTTCTTCATATGTGCAGGATGTCAACTTTCCTATGCAGAATTCTTCTTCATATGTGCAAGATGTCAACTTTCCTATGCAGAATTCTTCTTCATATGTGCAAGATGTCAACTTCCCTATGCAGAATTCTTCTTCATATGTGCAAGATGTCAACTTTCCTATGCAGAATTCTTCTTCATATGTGCAAGATGTCAACTTCCCTATGCAGAATTCTTCTTCATATGTGCAAGATGTCAACTTTCCTATGCAGAATTCTTCATATGTGCAAGATGTCAACTTTCCTATGCAGAATTCTTCTTCATATGTGCAAGATGTCAACTTCCCTATGCAGAATTCTTCTTCATATGTGCAGGATGTCAACTTTCCTATGCAGAATTCTTCTTCATATGTGCAAGATGTCAACTCCCCTATGCAGAATTCTTCTTCATATGTGCAAGATGTCAACTTTCCTATGCAGAATTCTTCTTCATATGTGCAGGATGTCAACTTTCCTATGCAGAATTCTTCTTCATATGTGCAAGATGTCAACTTCCCTATGCAGAATTCTTCTTCATATGTGCAAGATGTCAACTTTCCTATGCAGAATTCTTCATATGTGCAAGATGTCAACTTTCCTATGCAGCATTCTACTTCATATGTGCAAGATGTCAACTTCCCTATGCAACCTTCAGCTCCATGTCCACCAAATGAAAATAACTCTATGGAACAAACAACGCCTTACGTGCCTGATGAAAAATACCTTATACAGCAGTCAGCCCCTTATACAAATGTGCCTTCCACTTCCAACTGGTCAGAGGAAGATATCCCTATATTTTCAATCAAAGACCCCACGGAGCCTGCTGTTCAAACTTCCACTCGCAGTTCTCAGAGAAACACCATTTGGTCGACGCAAGAAGAGAAACCAAAGGAACAGAAAAAAGGAGCGGAGGATGCAAAACAGTGAGAGAATTTTTACTTTAGAATTTATTTAATTTTCTTCACATGCATCTTTGTTACATTTATCATCATCTTTTCACTTTTTTGGCCAAGACACATGAGGTCATCACAGAAAGTTTTCTTTGATACATAAGAAATGAGAAAAATTATGCTTGTACCATCATCAACTTGAAATAACAATTAAAATTTAACTTAATGCATGCAACCCTGTTTCAGAGTTCTGGAATTTAAACATTCAGATTTATTAAAAGCTGAACATGCTAAGTATTTGATACTGTACAACAAATATGTGAAAGGATTCATGCAGGGGACAGCGCCTTCTGTACTTACTACTGATGAAATGCGTGAACTCTCTACGTTTGAGGTTACATTTGTTTTCTTTGCTATCTGTTTATTTTTAAAGTAGTTTATAAATTTTTTTTGCAATTTATTTTAATGTCTTTTTTTTAAAGATTTAGTTGTTTTTTTTTTTTAATGATGCTTTGAATTTATCTTAGAAACTACAAAGTAGAGTTATCAAGGAGCAGGAAGAATTTCAAGGATATCTGAAAGAAAATGCCTTAAGAAATCCTAAATTTTATTTATTTTTGAAAAACCCAGCTAGATTTTATACAGCAGTGAGTCCATTTTTATTTTGAAACACTTAAATACTAATTAAGGTATTAATAAATAGTTAACTTTTCATTTAAATACTAATTAAGGTATAAATTAAAAGTGTTTTGTTTTTCATTTTAGAAGTACCCTCATATTTCTTTGTTTATGCATAGATATAATTGATGCTTTTTTTTATTTGATAAGAACATTTTTTAAAAATAACTTGTATCTGTTTAATGAAGATTGTGTTTCATGTTTCAGAACAAAATAAATGCATTCCGACTCTCCAAGAAACACATCAATGTATTCAGTCAACTAAATCAGCTCAAGGTTCCTTTTGTCCAGGTATCTGATCCAGCTGACATGGTTTTCAAGAAAACTTTGCTAGAAGTGGTAAGTCTGTGTATTGTATTTTAAAGTTACTTCAGTTTATGTATTGCAATGTCATAGTTGCCCTATTCTACAAAACTGATAAGAAGAAAATGTTTATTTTTTTTTAATAGGGTTACACAGAAATTTTTTTAATCAAAATTTTTTTGTTGAATCTGTCAGGGATTGCCTCCAAAAATTGTCCTCCCTGACATCCAATCTGGCAACAAACCTGTGGCCATACCCACTAAAGATAAGAAAGTCAGTGCTGTGTTCCCAACAAGGAAAAAAAACTGTCCAGGATTCATTCACCATGAAGTAAGTAGGCCTATAATTCACACATTACATTTTGCTTGTTTGCTGTGTTAATGCTAGTATAAGTCAGATAAGATCATGGCAACTATACCATGAAGTAATTAGGCCCATAATTTTGCTTGAATACTGTGTTAATGCTAGTGTTAATCATATAATATGATAACTATTTGTTAATAAATTTTGTAATTATAAATTAACCTACCATGTCCTACGTGGTATTTACTTGTTTCAGTTTGTGCGTTGTGATTATTCAATTGTTTGGTACATTGTAGGAGTCTTAAGTTGCCTTTACTTGTTACAGTTTGTGAGTTGTGATGACAATGTAAAAAATCTGGCGTGTAAGTACAAGATTCCAGTGGTCATGTCATCCAGTGTGGTCAAGTGTCTTTTCAACAACCACGGGCCAAACTATGACAGAGCTTGGAACATTCCAGTCATCATCAAGGACCAAGTGTCAGATGGTCAGCTTTGTCTAATTACTTACCCATGACAATTTAAACAAATTATTCAGGGACCATGGGTCAGTTTTTGTCTAATTACTTACCCATGACAATAGGTCAGTTTTTGTCTAATTACTTACCCATGACAATGGGTCAGTTTTTGTCTAATTACTTACCCATGACAATTTAAACAAGTTATACATAGACCATGGGTCAGTTTTTGTCTAATTACTTACCCCTGACAATTTAAACAAGTTATACAGAGACCATAGGTCAGTTTTTGTCTACTTACCCATGACAATGGGTCAGTTTTTGTCTAATTACTTACCCATGACAATTTAAACAAGTTATACAGAGACCATAGGTCAGTTTTTATCCGCTTGTTGCACCATGACAATTTAAATAAGCCATACTGAGACCATGGGTCAGTTTTTAGTTACTTGCCTATCCATTACAATGTTAGCAAGCTAAACTGAGATGGTGCTGTCCGTGTAGCTGTCTAAAGTCTAACAGAATTGTGTGGTCAGCATGTGACCCATCGATCGATACTTCCCTGTGTTTGTCCAGTATAATGGCTGGGGGACGAGTCCTAGGACACCCTAATGAATTAAAAGACATTAATGAACAGTAGACATTAGATCTTAACCAGGTCTGAGCCCAATTCTCTGAGGATGGTTTATGATCCTCAGAATGTTGAGTTGGGTAAAATAAAGACATCTGACCACACAATCTTTTTGTAAGCCAAGGCCACAGAACTCATCCTAATCTTTAAAATGGACATCCGGATCTAAAAATTTATTTATACCACCAAATCCCTGTCACTAATAACTTAAGTTGTCTTTCTTAAGTATGGCACCCCACAACAGGATGATGAATGGGAGATTTCATGCAACTGTATTGCCAGTAGCAAAAAATAATTCATTAAAACCCTTCTCATTAACATATTATATCCAGTGGCTCAAAATCTTTAATTAAAATCATTCTCATTAATATTATGTTTCAATCTGACAGGTGAACATTGCAAAGTTGTCTACCTTGATAAGCCAGTATTTGAAGATGATCTTCGCATGAGGGACTACAACGCCATGTTTCACAAGTACGCTGTGCGAACGTTTATCTCTCACCCTAACCCAAAGCTCAACAAGACACTGAAGCAGCTGAAGAACTTTAAAACTGATCTTGGCGGTGAAAAAACATTGGATGATCCGTTTGACATGTTTTCTTCATCTGTGGTGAACCTTGAAACATTCGGCAGTGCCAGTAGAAGTGCTGCAAACACAGAGTTCCTGGTAGAGAATGTCCCTGACGGCCAGAATGTCCCCAGTGGACGGGGTAAAAAACGGGCGCGTAAATCCAAATACATGGATTATGATGGTATGGAGGCAACAGAATCAGTGCCACAGGGGGAAGACTGTGGTGTAAGAAAGGTTGATTTGGTCAAGGATGGAGTTGAGATCTCAGAAGATGATGAACCTTTGAGTAAGTTGAGGAAAATTAGCTCTGTTCAGGTATCTGTGTCAGCCCAGGGTGATAAATCAAGTGGTCAGACTCCATCAACAGTCCAGGGTAGTAAGTCTAGTGGTCAGCTAGAAACAGCACCCGATGACGACAAATCCTCAGAGACAACTCGATCACTAAGAAGCTGCCGTACTGTGAGTAAAGACAATCACAGCTCGGAGACTGACACAGAAGACATGCGGTTAGCTAAGAAAAAGCTAGAGAAGGGAGATAGCCATAAGGAGGATATTGCTGTGGGCAGTAATGATGAGGGTAAGAACTCTGACCAGGCCGGAGTGGTCAAGCGCAAGAGAGGTAGGCCTAAAAAGGTATCTCATGAAAAAGCCACTGACAATGAAAGTCACTCAGAAAAAGAACAAATTCTGAATGAAAATGAATTAGCCACAGGTAGCACTGAGACTTTTAAGAGAAGGAGAGGAAGACCAAAAAAGGTCGTCGCCCCAGAGAGTATAGGAAATGTAGATTTTCCAGTGTCTTCTCCACAGCAAGTTCAGTCCTCAACAAGCATTTGCTCATCCCTGGCTTCACATAGCACCATGTCAACTATCACTCCCCACAACATTAGGTCACCAGCTACTCCACACAGCGCTAGATCACCAGCCACTCCACACAACATAAGGTCACCAACCACTTCACTTAGTGCCAAGTCACCAACCACTCCAAACAACATAAGGTCACCAACCACTTCACTTAGTGCCAAGTCACCAACCACTCCACACAACATAAGGTCACCAACCACTTCAGTTAGTGCCAAGTCACCAACCACCCCACACAACATAAGGTCACCAACCACTTCAGTTAGTGCCAAGTCACCAACCACCCCACACAACATAAGGTCACCAACCACTTCACTTAGCGCCAAGTCACCAACCACTCCACACAGCCCTGAGTCACCAACAAGGTGCCAAAACATCCAGGAGATTCCTACGTCCCCCACCTCGGATGAGCCAGCCACATCCTCCATGCCAACACGGATAATACCACTGTCTCCGGATAGCTCACCTCTACCCAAGAAACTAGCTAGAACCACAAAACCTCCAATCCCCACCAACTTTTTCAGCCCACTAGACTCTATTCTAGGCCCCAACAAAAGCAACCAAGACTCTTCAGGATCTATATTTTCACAAGGTAATCTGGATCACTTTCTATAGTCACAATTTGTTTTTTAAAGTTCTGTCCAAACTTTGACTAGTCTTTTTTTTTCTACAGCACTTCGTTATAAACATAATGGATCTAATTTTTTAAATATGACTCAAGCAATTAAAGATAAAGAGACTTTATTAATTTTGGTTTTTATATAGTATTTAAATGCTTTGATTTCAGCATGAACCTTGGCCTGTATTATTTTATCATTTTCCAATTGTATACTGTTAAGTTTAAAACTGGTGTATTATTGGGATATCGTTCCAAGTTTAGCAGTTATTAAACTACTTGAGTTTTTAATGTGAATGTATGACATGCATTTTTTAGCCATATTCTATCCCCCACCCCTTATTACTAAAGGCTGACCCCCACTTCGGCCATGAATGTAGCATCATATATATTTATACAACAGTGTAATGGACATGTCTTCTATTGTAGGATCCCTCACATTTCTCTATAGTGTATGCTGGTCTTTTCTCTTGATATTATAAATTTCTCTTTAGTGTAATAGTTGTATGTTTTTCATTTTATTGATATTATAATATTGATCCATCAGAGTTTCTCTATACAACAGTGTAATGCTTGTATTTTCTGTTGATAGAGGATCCATCAGTTTCTCTATACAACAGTGTAATGCTTGTATTTTCTGTTGACAGAGGATCCATCAGAGTATCTCCCTCCCACTGAAAGTCACTCCAGCATCATGTACAACTGGTGGAAGATTGGAACCACTGATGTACTCATTCGGTGCAGATGTCATGGAGTCTTGAACACTCAGAAAGGGGTAACAAACACATTTGTACTTATTGCTTGTATTCTTATCATTAGGCAGATGCTAGCTATCTTTATGTTAAGCTGTAAGAAGTAAACTACATCCGAACAAAAGCCTTATATTATAATGTAACATTTAATTAAGGTAAACAGTGTATATAGATTTCCTTTTTGCATTCAGCCATTGTTAATTCATGTAGGGCATAAAAATTGTTATACTTATCTATAGATATAACATTGATATGTAAATAGATGTTCTCTATATTTAGACAAAGCCAGTGTATATTAGCCTTAAAATGTTATACTTATGTATAGATCTAACATTGAAATGTAAATAGATGTTCTCTACATTTAGGCAAAGCCAGTGTATATAAGCCCTAAAATGGAGTACCAGACTTGCTATGGTTTAGAACAAGTCACACTGGAGGAGATGGTGAAAAGCTGGACCTCATGTTTTATAAGGAACAATACAAATTTACTTAGAGGTAAGGACAATAGCATTAAGATTCTAAGGTCCTTTAGTTTGTTTAAACTTAAGTCATAATATTTTATTTAGATGTATTTTACATACATTGTAAGCTGTTGATAGCCAGGCATCGTTTAGTTGTACATATTTGCATTTGCTGTTTGGTTGATTTAGGTTTTGGGTGACCAACATTTCTTTTATTCCTCAGTTCGAATCAATGCTTTCACCTCACAGATATTGATGTATGAAGAATTGCAGTTACACCAAATGTTACAGTCCACATTAAATTTTAAGTATGCCTAGTTTTATTTTTTAAACAATCTAAACAATAACAAAATGTGATTTAGTAAGTTATACTTACAGTGATTAATTATAAATTGTTGGTCCAGTAGGTCTAGAGATAATCTATTTTTGTGACCTTGTGAGGACATTTTGTGGTCATCTTTATACCATGCAGCCCTAATTTTCTCTGAATTTAATTTGTATTTATCAGATTTGGGTGAACTCTGGGACATTTTGATGATTCAGATATTTTATTTAGCAATATGCTGTATTTTTCAGTCTTAGTTTGGTGAGCTACAAATCAAAACCACTTTGATTAATTAAAATATTGCTAGATATATTTTTTAAAAGTCTCATTATATTTACAGACCTTCTTCTTCCTTTGAATTTGTTAATAATCTTTTGAAGCAATTGACTGGGTAAGTATAGAGAAATCATACTTTTAAATAAGCCTTCTGATAAATTATTTCTGTCAGTTGAATTTGCCAAACATTGTTAGAAAAAGAACATAAATTATTATATTTTATCAAGCATTAGCATTAGTATCAAAATGCATTTAGAGTCCTAGCCTTTGAAATTTTAATAATTTGAAATTGTAAATAAAGAATTGGGGGAAAAAATGTGTTTTCAGATTAGAGTTCTTTAAAAATTAAAATTTTGTTCTGTACCCCAACACTAACTACTGTTTCAGTAATAACTCTTTAGAAACTCTTTATATGTGTCATTGTTTTCAGCCTTGAGTGCGGCAATTATCTGATATCTCATGAACCTGGTGCAGATCACTGTGTCATTAAATTTGAAAAGAAGATCACAAGGTAAAAAATAACTGTGAATCACTTAATTAATTTAGCTGTGATAAGTGTTTATGCTTAAGTTTTAAAATGTATGTAAACTGTATAAAATTGTAAAATTGCTTGACTTTAATAATAGAAACCCAAATTATCAAATCTGTTTAAAATCATTTTTAAATTATTATTTATCCTTTGTTAAGTCTAATATAAAAGTAGCTTGCTACACAATAACAACTGAATAAGCTACAACAATTTACCTAATTACCTGTGTGTTAAAAAAAATTGTATCCCACATATCTTGCATAGGATGGTATTGAAGAATAAAAGTATTATATGTGTAAATATTTAAACTTCTCAGTGATATTAGTGAAAGAGATGAGGCCATGCACCAGCCAAAGAAGAAAAGACCAGTTGATGAAATCATTCCATGGATACCTATCGACCCAACACTTTTGCTTCCTTATCACGTCACAAATAATAGGATCCCTGCCACCTTTTTACCTAAAGGTAATTTTTCTTCAATCAGTGGTCCACACTTGTTCTCTTTGTCGTAGTATGTTTTTAAAAAATCTATTTATTATATTGTTTATTGAACAGACGCTGTGAAGAAGTTTGACAACAAAAATGGAAACAAAGGTGGAAATCAGAATATGGGAAATGATAAGAAGCACCAGTACAATAAACAGGGTGGCAACCAGAAGAATATGGGAAATGATAAAAAGCACCAGTACAACAATAAACACGGTGGAAAAAATAATAAAAAGTTTTAGTTTTGACAAATTTTGTTGGTTTTGTTTATTTTCATTTCACATTAACACACTAAATACTTAATTTAAAAAGTTTACATTACATTTTTTATTTTTCTTAGATAAAACTATTTCTTTACATCATCATTGGTGTAGATGAAGTAGACCCAGTGTATTTTTTGGGATGTGTGGGATGAGGCTTATTTTGTGTTACAAAATAAATGGTTTTTTTTTTTAAATATAACATTACATTGCCCAAAAACATTCCATTGATAAGCATGAACAAAACAAATTATTACATTGAATAAATCCTTGCAAGCTACCCTCAAGACAAATTATAACAATTACAAGTATAAATAAGCATTGTTTACAAAATAAGTTATGCAAACACAAATAAAACTTCCTGTAGCCAAGCCATATGGATGGATTGTGTGGCTATTTGCCTACTACAACAGCCATATGAATGGATTGTGTGGCTATTAGCCTACTACAACAGCCGTATGAATGGATTGTGGCCCGTATGAATGGATTGTGGCTATTAGCCTACTAAAACAGCCATATGAATGGATTGTGGCTATTAGCCTACTACAACAGCCATATGAATGAATTGATTAGCCAGTATCAGTGCACCCATGATATTAATTCATTGTGGGGCCAGCACCATACATTATCCTTACAAGTCCATGACTAAACACTGTTTTCTTTGACTCTAGATTTAATACATTTATAATAGTCTTGAGAAGGTTATCACTATCAGAGTCAAATTTTAAACTACCAGATACTAGTAACAGCACAATTCAATTTGAGGATAAAAAAGTATTGGCTTTATCCAATACAGTGCAATTCAACTCAGGTAATTATAACTTGATATCTCCAGGGCAAGAAATAACTCCATGTATGTGCTGAATGTAATGTTACGTAACTGATTGGCTAAAGGAAAACATCTTATACAGCAAAGAAATGTGCTCTTCAATATGAAAAAACATTTCAAGCCTACATGCTCCCTTCAAAAAGAAAGGGAAGCAGAGGATTTTATTTCAAACAAATGCAACAATAATTCTCTTATAAGTTTTAGATCTTATATATTTCAGGTTGAGTGAAATACTGATACCTTGTGTTTATTAACACACTATAGAAGAATTCTTATATAATGTTGCAATGTTTAAACTATTATGCAATTTTTTGACTAATTAATTTTGTCTCATTTATGTAGAATCTAAAATATCTAAAAATTTAAGGTAACGTATCACCTGGGCAGGTAAAGGTAAAACATCCATGTTTTGGTCAATATCTGGCCGAACATGTCGCCGTATGCTGACACGACATAGAGCTTGTAGATCAGCTGGCTGGGACACACACAGATACAGCAAGTTAACCAACTCTTCTTTTCTTTCTTGAACAAACAAAATCATGGACTTCACCCTCTCAAAGTTGTCCTTCTTCAGCTTAGTTCCGGCTGCAAGCAACAAGCGAATCACAACCACACTGTTGAGCAGCGACTCAGGAGACTGCGGTGAGAAATTTTGTATTGCCATCATCAGGGGAGAAAACTGAAGCGAATCTTGGGCGTTGACGTCTGCGCCGTATGCTAGAAGTAAACGGATTTTCACAATGTCGTGTGTGTGGCAAGCAAAATGTAAGGCAGTTGCTCTCATGTGGGAGGAAGCATGGATGTTGGCCCCCCACTTGAGGAGTAGCCTGACCACCTCTTGTTGTGGCCTCACAGAAAAACAAGCTATTTGTAGCGGGCTCATGCCAAGCTTATTTGTTTTATTTACATCTGCTCCATGTCTGTGAAGGATCTATTAACAAAAAAATGTTATAACAAATTAAAAAAACAAGCTTCAGGCGTTAATAGATTTCTAAGCATTAACATTAAACCTAATTTAAAAAACAATCATATTCTGCAATTAAATTAAAAGATGTTTTTTAAACTGATTTTATACCTGATTAAAAATTAAATGCTCTTGTATTGTAACAAAATTATTTATACAACTAAAACTCAACCTTCATTGATTCTATGTCTCCACGCTCACAAGCTTGGCTTATATAAGGTCCTTCATGAAGATTGGCTCCGCCCTCAATCAGTAATCTCAGAATTTCAACAGATGAAACTTGTATGGCAATTTCTAAAGGAAGTCCATCAGGTATATTGGTATCACACCCTGCTTTAATCAGTATTTCCACTATCTCTATGCACTGAGTAATACAGGCCCTTACCAAAGGTGTGTCTCCTTTCATATTTTTTATATTGACACTAGCACCATTTTTAATAAGAAGTTTCACAACAGGAATATTGCTTTTAGCACAAGCTATGTGAAGACTTGTATTTCCTATGCTGTCCTAGAAAATAAAATACAACATTTTTATTTTGATACTCATGTAGTGAAATGTAATGGAATATTACTTAAAATGTATGTGATTTAATATTTTTAAACATCTCATAAAAAAACAAGAACAACAAACAAAAAGTAAAATTGAATTTTAAAAATTTAAAATGCATAATACCTAAAAATTGTAAGACAGTTGTAATTAAAAAAAAAAGTAAAGTTCCCTTTTTGAACCTGATAGTCCATGGGGCAAATGAAGTAGAGTTCACCTGTTTCTGAGACCCCTGCATATGAAGGGATATTGTGATCAGCACTATGCTAAGATGCCTTTACTTTCCCTAAAGTGAGTTAGGTACCCATCAGAGCTGGGTGTTCAGGGATGTTCAACTGATTTCAATTTCAACAAGATTTGAGCTCAAGACTTTTGGGTTAGCAGTCTAATGCTCTACAGCTAGGCCAGGACATCCCACTAAATTGGACTATAACTATTATACAACAAAATACAAGAAGCTTACTGATGCATTTAGGTTTGCTTTTGCTTCTATAATCTTGCGTACTAATCCCACATTTCCCTGATTATGGTTACAAGCAAAATGAAGAGGAAGTCTATTATAATATGAAGAGCTTTTGTTGACTTGAGCATTATGGTGCAAAAGTACTGTAACAAGGTCCTCTCTGTTGTACTTGCAAGCCAGACACAAGGGTGTTAGGGATATGCTTAGCTCACTGTCGATGTATGACTCATCCAGAAAGCCACTGATGCGTAAAATCATGTCCAGTTCACTGAACGTGACCAGTTCCCAGTTGACTGGTTCGAGTGAATTCATTGTTAGCTTTGAAATATCATCTCATCTGAAAATGTTTAAGAAATTATTTCCAAATTATACAACATTTTGTAGCATATTCATTTAGTTAATTTAAGCTTGCAATTACAAGTATTACACAAAGACAATAACTGCATAAATTACATATAGGCCTAATATATAAATAATATTAAATAATTAATATAGATCTATGAATCTATAATAATAGTTTCGCTGTCTCTCTATCTATCTATCTATCTATCTGTCTGACAAGAACGCTCTAGAGAAAACACAAGGAATTTAAAAACCTGCACAGTAATTCGAAAAACGAAATATGACGTCGACACATTTAGCGTAGAGTAGAACATAATCTCAAACCAGAGAGTGCACACAGTAATGTAATGACGTCATTGAAACATTGAAAAAAAGGAAATGTTGTCTAATCTAAATGGTTTGCGTGAAGAGTTTCTTGCATAGAATTCTTCGAGTAGGGGCGAAGCCCCACCCCCCGCGTAAGAACGTCTGAGCCCCCCCCCCCCCCTCCCCAACTCAAAAGAAATTTCCTCATCGATACTCTATAATAAAATTACCGCCTAATTAATGTGTCTAATCTAAAAAGTGGTTTTCTCGCAATTTCTTTAATGCAATTCTTCGCGTAGTGGCTAAGCGCGACACCAGTGTTTCTTTCAGACTTTTTCCTCCCCGGAGAGGGGTGGGGGGTACTTGAAATTTTCGGGGGCGGGGGTAGAATTTTCGGGGAGGGGGCGGACACTGGAAAAAGTATATAATTATATTTCGTTGAATGGGACGGTAGACATGTTTTTTTAGAGGGGGGGGGGGTGAGTGGGGGGGGGGTGGTTTTAATTTAGACTTTTTCCTCCCCGGAGAGTGGTGGGGGTACTTGAAATTTTCGGGGGTGGGGGTAGAATTTTCGGGGAGGGGGGCGGACACTGGAAAAAGTATATAATTATATTTCGTTGAATGGGACGGTATACATGTTTTTTGGGGGGTGGGGGGTGTGGGGGGGGGGTGGTGTGGGGGGTGGGGGGGTGGTGTGTGGGGGGGGGGTGGGGTGGGTGGGGGGTGTGGGGGGGGTGGGGGTGTGTGTGGGGGGGGGGGGGCTGGGGTGGTTTTAGTTTAGAGAAAAGAGACAGCACTATCAGCCTAGCGCCCGGTGTATCCTTCCTCAACGGGCCATTTTTCTCGTTATGATCATAATAGTCAATAGTGTTGTTACTAACTTGTTAAGTTGTAATGTTATTGTTACTGTGTGACTGTGTGTGTTACAGACTATACACTGTGACTATACACTGTCTGTATCAGTGTAATATATATTATTATATATATATTAGGCCTATATTTATATTATATTTAATATTATTATAATAAACTACTACTACTACACTGTTACTACAGTAGCTAGACTCAGCTAGACTAGATTAGTATTTTTTTTTAGAGATCTGGATCTAGATTAGATTTAAATTAATTCTAGATCTAGTACGAACCACTAGATCTAGTTTTAGATCAAAATCTAGATCTAGACTTTAGATCTAGATCTAGTAATCTAGTGTTTGTGTTTCGTAATTTTTTATTCATCATTTCATTACTTACTCCTTCTAGTCTAGGGCCTACTCTAGCAGTCAGATTTAGTTAGTGTAACTCTTTTTTGTACAAAAACCAAAAGAATAATTCAGACAAACCAGGCCCTAGCTAGGCTAACTTCTAACTCGCTCATAAGTTAGGCCTATAGATGAAGTTTATTCTCGATATACTACTTAATCTAGATCTAGACTAATAGTGTTAACAGGGGCGTAGCGAGGGGGGGGGGGGGTGCGGACCGCACCGGGTGACACCATTTAGGGGGGTGACACCAAGGCAAAAAATAGCAAAATATATAAAAAAAACTTGAAGGGGGTGCAAATTGAAAACTTGAGGGGGGGTGCAAATCAAAAGTTTGAGGGGGGGGGGGGGGTGCAAATTAAAAATTTGAAAGTTTGTCCCCGGGAAGGGTCGCTACGCCTCTGGGGGGTGACACCATTAAGTGCCGCACCGGGTGACACCCGACCTCGCTACGCCACTGAGTGTTAATAAATAGTTTAAAGTCTTAGTTACAGGCTAACTAGTTTTTTTTTAAACATATGGTTACGTAGGCCTTTACTTCAGACAATTATTCCAGCGTGAATTCAGCTGTACATCAATCATGAATACACTTACTCTACTAGATAAAGAGAGATGGGGTTTTCTTACTTGTAAAACGATTTGTTAGAATCTAGACTGATCTAACACTACAATTTTTCTAAAGAGATGGGTTAAGTCAGTGGCGTCACTGTCTATATCGGATGTCACACGGTGCGATAACTAAGGGTATCACCCCCCCCCCCCAATTAGCATCTTCGGCTTAGTGTCACGCCCTCTGCCAGTGTTTCTTCCAGACTATTTTCTCCGGGGGGGGGGAGAGGCGGACATTGTTAAAAATATTTTTTTTTCTATTTAAATTCCATTTAGTTCGGGGTGGGGCGGTAGACTTTCTTCTGCCCCCTCCCCCCGAAGAGATACCTGGTAGAAACTCTGTCCTCTGCCCCTACAAGTTTTTTATCTTAACAACTTAACGGGATACAACATTGCTTTGACAGTAAATATTATGACTTTCGTCTTTGTGTACTCCCTAAATGGCGTCATCAGCTTCGAACCGCATCCCCCGCCCCAGTCTTGTGACGCCGTTGGTTTTGTGATAACGAGCGGCTATATAGTCTATTACAGTGGAGTAAAATCAGCACAGATAACATTTAGGCTGTTATATGGAGTAGAATTAAAGAGAATAAGCAGGCTATGCTGACAATGTTTGGCAACTCTTAGAAACAGAATGTGCTATCCAAACAGCCTCAAGCTCGATTACTTAATATAATATTGTCCGTGTAGTTGCTTAAGCAGGATTTGTTGTGTGTGGGGGGGGGGGGGGGCAAAATTGAGCTTTTCATGACTCAAATTGTAGAAATCGAAAGCACACATGACAAGTCTGCTGTCAAGGGAAAAAAGTAACGAACGTGAGACAACTGCCACAAAGACCACTGTATGTGCCTCTAGTCCCATTACAAATAAAACACCCCATTTTACATGTATCCCTTTTGTCATCATTAATTTGTATTGTCTATGGCGCACTAATTCATCATTCATCATCATTTTTCCTTTGTAGCTCCTGAGGAGAGTTAGATAGAGATGTGGAATTTACTGGTTCTCGCATCAAACATATAGGTCTACATGTGTTTTGGTTGAAGCTAGTGAGAAAAAAAATATGTACATTTATTCAGCTGAAACTGAACATGACGAGCGTCTGTTTCTTTTCGCTCAGCTCTAGTCTTTTGACTCGACTGACCAAAGTGGGGATTCCGCCACCAGTTTGTGTTTGGGTAGATCAAATAGCATTAGTAAAATAAAAATCGCCCAAACGAGTAGACAGCAATAGAGCGTGCCCCCCTCTCTTGCCCCATCCAAAAATAGACATCAAGGTAATGGGATTTTTGCAATATTATTTAATTTTCCCTTGATACAGTATTATAATATTTTGAAGAGTGGTATTGTTGGCACGGCTCGACGTCAACAAACACGCACACACACACAGACGTTCACAAAACACGCACACAAACGTTCACAAACACACACACAAACGTATACAAACACGCACACAAACGTCCACAAACACGCACACACACGTGCAGAGCCGGCGTTTGGGGGTGGCGAACGGGGCGGCCGCCCAAGGCCCCGCATATTAAGGGGCCCCGCGCTTCAGCGTCGTCACTGTTATCTGAATTCGTTTGTAACTTAAATAATCTTTGCTGAATTCGCTTGGGAAAAACGAAATGGTCGAATGCCGACGTTGTTGGTTGTTATAACTGAGGCCCCGGTTGATGCTATTGAGTTATCACCCACCTAAACTGGGACAGGCCGTAAATTATAGTGTCACACACCTCCCTGTGTGAAGGGTACGGTCGCCTCGCATTTAACCTGAGGTGACTGGAGATGGGTGGACTAGAATTAGCCCCCGAACTTACCAGGGAGGAAAATTTGGAAACCCAGTAATCAGATACCCTATTGTATGTGGGGTGATGAAGACGTTTTGGGGTTGGGATGGTGGTGGTGGGGGATCCACATCAGGTGGCGGGGGGGGGGGGCATCCAACAGAGTGATTCATTATTTTTATTTTTTTTTTTGGAAGAAAGTAAAATTGTTGTTATGTTGTGTCATCTTAAAGATTCATCCGTTCCCAAACAGAATTATTAATTTACCGAATTCATTCAAATTGTTATATACAATCGTTTCCAATGGTGCTAACATAATATTATAGTCATCGAATCGTCCACGTCGCACAACTATTATGGAGGAATGGGCATCGTTCAAGGGCAGTGATATTGTAGTCATTAATAAACGCACATTTTTTTAATTGTAGGATATCCTTTACAACAGTTAAGACCATACTGATTTTGGTTTTAAAATATTGTATGGAATCTAAACAAGTTTTGAAGTCTATAGGGCCTACTGTTTTGATACCTCGGGCCGAGTTCGCTTTATTGTAAAGTTGTCCTGATTTCTCACACGTCTAAAGTACCGGCATTCACGGCAGCCCGAACATGCCGTCGGGAAACTAATAAATAAAGTGTAGCTGGCTGTCACGTCGTTTTCTCCCTAATTATAGTCACGAACCTTCTCTTGTGAGACCGCGTTCATGGCAGGTAATGTAATACGTGGACTCTCTATAAACACAAACCTTCTCCGGTCAGAGATCCAGTAACGTAGTACTCGAATTTGGAACTTTTTTTTCTTAGGGTTTGGCAACCCAAGGCATAGATTTAAACCCACAATTTTCCTAATGAGCCTCAGTGAGTACATTTGAATATAATTTCTTTTGGATATCCATAAACATAGAATGGGTTTTTACGATTCGTAACCAGTGTAAATTCACGATTCGAGCTAAGTCCAAAAGCTATCGTTTTTCTATTTGTTTTAACTTTAATTACTTTTGTTTTGTTGATATTGTCTAAAATTCTGCGCTTACTACGTTACTAACAGTACCAGGGGCGGAACTACAGTGCCGCCAAACCCCGCAATGCGGGGGGGGGGGGGGGGGGGGCCCACGCCATTTAGGGGCCCAAGGCCGACCATAAAAAAAATTTTATAGCTAAAAAAAATGTTCTTGCATTTTTGACTTAATGTTTGTTTTGTAAAAAAGATTACCGTAGCTGCGGTTGGATTATCTTTATTCTATAGACACCACCCCACGCTCATTTTTCCTTCGTTTTTAAACCACTGTGAAAGCCGAGTCTTCTTCCTCCTACAATGAAACTTATCAAAGATAAGCAAACGTTCAAACCACTTCCATGACTTATTTCCCTTTTTTAAATGGTCAAATAGTGATGCTCATAAGCCTCTTTTTAATAGATTTGTACTAAACATATTAAAAAGCAATTATTTCTCTTTATTATTATTTCTTTCTAAATTATTTACTAAAGAATGACACTGTATAAAAAGAAAATATATTTAAAATTAATAAAATAAATACAAAAAACATAAAAATAAACATGACACGAGACACCATTATTTACAGAAAGCTTTCATGTTGTATATTCTTTTGACCGATATGAGCTTATTGGTCATAATGCAGAGATAATATAAAACTGATTATACCAGGGGTCGGCAACCTGCGGCTCGCGAGCCGCATGCGGCTCTTTTGATATCAAGATGCGGCTCTCCATCTCCTTGAACAAATACTAATAATCTTAATAAAAAATAAGATATTTGAAATTAAAAAAATGTTAGAGGCTCTTTAAAACCAAGGAAATTTTGAAAATTGTAACTTTTGGCTCTTCCGCTTCACTTACACTCATGATATGATGTTGTAATTTGTTTTAATTTAAAAAAAAAACCCACTTATTTCTCATAACACGAACAGGCCAGCATGAATAAGTATCCTATGTTCGTATGTTGTGTTTGATAATATATATATATATATATATATATATATATATATATATATATATATATATATATATATATATATATATATATATATATATATATATATATATATATATATACATACATATATAGGCCTATATATTTATATGGGGGGGCCTAAAAATTTTTTTTGCGGGGTGGCCCCTTTTTTCTAGTTCCGCCACTGAACAGTACACTCTCTTTTTTAAATACACCTAAAACGCTTGACTTATATTAACTATTGGACATTAACAACCATTTAAAAAAAAAAAACTTATGTCCTAATTTTTGGGCATGTCATTGAATTTCCTTGAGTGTTTTGGTATGGATTACATAACTGTAAAAAGTTTTTTAATATCTTAGCAAAAAAGAACAATTAAGAACATTGAGTAAAACGTGGGAGAGGTTAACATTTGTTATTATAGTGAGAAGTTTGGCATTAGCTTTTAGACTCCAAAACATTTATCTGTTATTATGGTTGGCACTAGGCCCCGCGTATCCCTAACGCCGGCTCTGCACACGTCCACAAACACACAGACACACGTCTATTCGCATATCACCGTGAACCAAGTCACGACTCACTTGTTAAGTTGTTTACTTAATCGTGCTCATCAAACCATGACAAAGGTTTTTGTTCACGCCGTGAAACCTGACACCAAGACCGTCTCGTGTAAACACCAGTCATTCTAACACACAAAACTTTCAAACACACCAGTCATTCCAACACACAAAACTTTCGAACACACCGGTCATTCCAACACACAAAGCTTGCAAACACACTAACATTTCCAACACACTAGTCATTCAAACACACTAACCTTTCAAACACACTAACCTTTCCAACACACTAGTCATTCCAACACACCAACCTTTCCAACACACCAACCTTTACAACACACCAATCGTTAAACCCAATCACACTATGTTTGTTTTGCTGAATTAGTTCTACAATACCACCGTTATTTGATTATTTCCAATTACATTTTACTTGAAAAAAATTAGCCCAGGAGTTTAACGTCACCAATGTCATCGCTATATCATATGGCACTCTTAAATTCAATGTACGCATGACATTTACACATACGAATGGTGTGTACTGGGTGTGGCTGACCTTTCGATCTATAGATTTATAAGGAGGGGCCATAGCTCGCTGCCACGCCTGTTAGAGCACGAAAAATATGTGGGATATTTGATTGACGTGAAACGCTAAAGGGGGGGGGGGGGGGTATATATTGTGGCTATGTCATATGTGCTAGAGGTGGCCTACGCTTTCTATTTGTAATAATTAAACAAAAAACGAAAATAATGAGATTCCTTTGACTAACATATAAGGGTGATTTTGGTTTTAGGGTGTGTATGTGTTGGGGGGGGGGGGGGGGGGAGTGAACTCTCCGGCGTCATTGTATGGTGTTTGGCTTTTTTTGTGACGATAGAAGAGGGTATTCATCAAAATCGGCTTAAGTTGGGTGGCATAAGCCTAAGCTGTTAGAAATGGATACAACTTTCAACATTAATCCTGCTAGATATATATATATATATATATATATATATATATATATATATATATATATATATATATATATATATATATATATATATATATATATATATGAAGGGGTATTGAACCCCGTTGTAACTATAAGTGACTACCTTTAAGCATGAATAACGGGTCTAAGTAAATATAGAGTCTTAGAAACACCTCTGCGAATCGCCTGCAAACATTTTGAATGGTAGCTTTACCTTTAAATGATCATTTCATTCAGCCGGAAAAATAACGTCTGTCAATTATTTTGCGTGTTCACTTTTGAAAATAGGACATTAGAGATAGCAAAATGTACAAATCCGTCCCCCACCTCCCACCCCCACGCACACAAATAAAAAAAATACCGAGCGACGAATCACTCATGCATAACACGTAAAGTTCTCGGCTTCTTTATATAGTCTATAGCTTGAGACATTATGTACGGTGTTAATACATTCACGAAACTGTAAGCGAATCGTTTCAATTGCACTTTATTTTTTATTATACGACTCATCTTTTCACAACTTGTGAGCATAAATAAATACAATTTTGCTTGTTATCTCATAAGAATTAGACACACACCCCTATTCTCATGTTCGTTTCTGTGACTGTATTTTACTTTGAGCTTGACTGTGGTTATCTAGGTGAGCGAATGTAAAACTTGGATCACTCAACAGATTAATGTTTAGTTTATGAGCACAAATCCCAGTAATAAAGACGTCATCTAACCATACCGGCCGCAGCCGTAAGGCGGCTAAATATAGAAGTTTTACAGTACTCAGTGGGTACCCGAGTAGACCCCCAAATGCGAAAGGCGGGTAGGTTTTCTCCGGGTACTCGTCGTAAGACACATAATATTTTCCGTTCGCGACGTTTCTGCTACGAATTGGAATCCTGTTGACGTTTGTCCTACCCAAAATAAAATGTTCATGCGTCGCACTTTGTCGTTCTAGAGCGTCGACTAATTTGGGGAAAATAACATCTACGTCATCGTCTGTACGTATGACGTATTTAGCTTGTTGACAGAACGTCGACGCCCACTTTAACATGGCTACAGCCTTTAGTCTTATGTTGTGATAAACGTCTTCAAAACTTTCTTGGACGATATCTCCGAACACTCGAGCTTCGTTGTCGATTCTAGCTTGCAGCTGGCTATCGCTGTTGTTTGGGGGTTGACCCAGAAAAAAACAGCAACCTAGCATGGTTGCCTCTGTTCCTAGCGTACTGTCCACGACTTCCTTTTCGACATTTTGCCCTTTTGTCGAAATGACTTAGGTCCGAAGGGACGACAATCAACACGTTCACGTGACCAGAGCAGACGTTTCGTGGATTGTGTATGTAAACAAACTCATGGTTGTTGATAACCGGAAGTGTGAGAACCGAGATCACAGATTTTTGAAACAGAATTTGACTCTCCAAATGTTTAGTTCTTTTATGTAAGAGTTCCGTTTCCATGGAGACGTAAGAATGATTTGCTTTCGATGGAGTGTTTAAGTACTCAGCAGTCTGGGCTACAGGAGGAATATCTCTTGATTTCTCGCTTTTGATGATCTCCACATTACTCCTCTATGGTGATCTGGGTCATTGCTGATTGTGTAGGTGCACTGGACCTGCATCAGGATTGCTATGGCAACCAAAAGGTAGACGGTGGCGTACAGGTAGAGCAGGACAACCCGTTTCCGTGGCATGTTGCTGCAAATCTGCGGGTAGGTGGATATAATTTGGTGAAAATATCACATTAGAATTTGGGGGGAAAGGTCATTGCACGGAATCTAGAGTAGTAAAACATTTGAGGCGCAGAAATATATTAAAACCGAATTTTTAAACATTAATAATATATTTTTCTTCTTCGTTCTTGGTTGTGATGTTGAGGAGAACATGTTATTCCCCTTATATATCGTGGGCTTCGATTTCAGCTTGCTTTTCTTTTTCGATTTGCTGCCATAGCTTTTGTCCACCCAAGAACAAACTACAGTGCTGCAGTTGTTTGATTTTGGAGTTGTCTCTCCTAGAAGGGCTGCTGCTCCCAGTTACCGAGCCTCATCTTCCCTTATCTACATGATCTTACAGTAGTAGATAGTAATTGTCCTCCTAAAAAAGTTTCATATTGTTTCAGCTTCATGAAATATTTAATTGATGTATCGTGTAGATACCGTGGCGGAGACAGGGAGTGTTATAGAGATTTATCCCCCCCCCCCCCCCCCTCTCGGAACTCCAAAATATCAACCGTCTAAAAATAACAAGAACTCGATTCGATCATACTACTTCGAACGTCAAAAAAAAAGTAAACAAAATTATAAATCGAATGTATCTTCCTACCTGATTGTCCGACTGATATCACGTGAAGGTGCCCATAAACCTCCACTGTCTTCTCACCAAAATACAGACCACATACATGAGGTACATTTTCGACTACTGCAAATATAAGCCCATTAACTGCGAGTCGGCAGATTGCTAAAGCGACCGGGCTTGGTAGGTAACACACCCTAGCTAGGCCCTATTCATATCTCTGTTGATCGACATAGCGTATCCGATCCATTCAGAGGCGCCGAACGACGACCCAAACAAATAACGGATTCCCCTTTTAAGGTACATTCAGGTTCGACAACCCTGGCAGAATTTTTTTTTTTCTTCTGAAGTTTTTTTTAAAGCATGTCTGGGACTGCGACTAGTACTTTAGAAGAAGGAGTTCAAGTAAACAACTAGATTTATATCTAGGTCTTTATGGATCGTTGTGCACAGGTCATATCTCACTACCATGTTTGGCTGTTTTATAAATAAATTATATATTTTTAAAAATGTCGTCAAGGGGCGTGGGGGGAGGGGGTGTTAACTTTCGGACACGAGTAAAAGTAGGCTATGTAAGCTATTTTATAAATAAATTATATATTTTTCTATTTAGTCGGGGGGGGGGGGGGGAGGAGGGGCATGCTCCGGACCGCAGTACCTATTCCCATCGCCCTCCGAGAGATACCTGCTGAAAGTAACTCTGCTAGTTCTAGTATTAGATTCTATGTTAAAATCAGTTAGGGCAAAGATTAGTGCGGAAAAAATTAATAAACTCTTTTAATTTAATTTTTTTTAATGGTATGATTTTTTACCATCTCAATGTTTTTTTTCCCATTATTTTACATATTATTTTATTAATATTAGCCTATATGCCTATATTTTGTAAGCTACTGTAACTACAATAAACAAAACACAAAGGGGGCACAAGTCAGTATTTATTTCGCCATACATTTGTAAATAAACGTAGTCGACTATTTTATCGAAAGTTTTCTTGAGCTAAAATTAATTGAAATATAGCCTTAATTGTAAAACATCAATATTCAGTACACCATGAAATAAATTATTAAGAATACATTTGATATTTTTTAGCGCAATTTCCATTCTGGAGAATTGCGTTTATTAACCCGTCATTTCTGGCAGTGGCGTAGCCAGGATCGTCTCAAGGGGGGGGGGGGGGGGGTTCCAATTTTTACCCGGGGACAAACTTTCGATTTGCACCCCCCCCTCAAACTTTCGATTTGCACCCCCCCCCTCAAACTTTCGATTTGCACCCCCCCTCAAACTTTCGATTTGCACCCCCCCCCCCTCAAACTTTCGATTTGCACCCCCCTCATACTTTTTATATATACCGAGGGGTCTATGGGGGGGGTTATGACCCCCCCTAACCCCCCTGCCTACGCCACTGATTTCTGGATGGATGGATGGATGGATGGATGAATGTGTGTCCGCAGCTTTAAGTCGTATCTCCTCCTCAACGAAGCAATATCGATGACTAGTTCCAAAAGCAATTATGTTAAGCCAGTTACGAGGATGAACATAGGCCATAAAAATTCCGGGTTTCTTTCATGGATTTCCCGTAAAAGCTAAAAAAACCTCGAACAAATTCAGTTTTTGCTACATATCTAGGCAACCAGACCACTTAGCGACTTGAAACATTTACCAATCGATTCCTGCCATAATTTAAACCAATATTGCCGAAGAAAGTTTTCAAAAATATCCTTTCGTTCGGTCACAAAAAATTAATTAATTTAAGAATTTTTAAACTGAGCGTCTTGTAGGTTTTTAGCGCAAAAGCTGAGGATCGAAAGGATTTTAATGAGCGGAGGTTCGAAAGGATTTTTAAAATTTTTCCCCTTTTTTTTCGACTGATACGGGAGGCTACTCTCCCCTTTTTTTTCGACTGATACGGGAGGCTAGTTTCTATTTTGTTTTGAATTATTAAAACTACTTGTGTTGCATTATTTATTTGCTGAGTATATGATTTATCTCGATTTAATTTACTTATTAATTCAAACGTTATTTTTGTACCCTATTAATAAGCTGAGGTTCGAAAGGATTTTACCATAGCGAATGAGCGGAGGTTCGAAAGGATTTTTTAAAAAATCTCGTTAATAAATATTTTTTCTATTTTGTTTTGAATTATTAAAACTAGATCTACTTGTGTTGCATTATTTATTTGCTCAATATATGATTTATCTCGATTTAATTTACTTATTAAATCAAACGTTATTTTTGTACCCTATTAATAAGCTGAGGTTCGATATAAGGAAATTGCGCTAAAATTGTCACTAGACTTATTTTTAATTAACTTGTTTTTAACATTTATCTTTGCAATTTTAGACCAAGATCCATAATCGAATTATAGACTAGAGTCTAGATCTAGACTCTATATCTCGATTATTGGAATTAGCGGAAGTGTAAAATGAAATCGAAAGTGAAACAACTACAAGTAATTCATATTCAGAAAGTCAATAAATAATTGAACAAAAAAACAAAATTATAACCATGCCATTTAAATTTTCTTTTTCTATTTTAAAAAGCATTTTGATAATTCAAATTTGCAAAGGTAGGTAGATTCTCTAGATCCATATTCTTAATTCTAATCTAGATCTAGAGTATTCTAGAGATGCCCCTCCCCTACCTCTCTTCAGTCTTTCTGACTCTTTGTAATATGTATGTAGATTTAATTGTAATGTAGTAGTATGTATGTAGTATGTATGTAGTCTTGTGGTTTGGACATTCGTGACAGTAAAAAAAAAAGTAAAGTAAATAATAAGTTAGTTAAGAAGTAGGCCTCTATTCACTATTATTATATAATATTCTATAGTTTAGTTTTAGTATAATTTATTAGTTAGCTATAGTCTATAGTAATAATAGTATAGTTCCCTACCTGAGTGATGGTCCTTGGGGTAAGTGAAGTACTCAAGTGTGTGTCAAATAGTGTAGAGTTCACCTGTTTCTGTGACCTGTGGTCAGCAAGTAAAAGGAGGGCTTGTAAGTCTCTACGGCACGGTCTCAAAATCTACTAGATCTAGATCTAGATCTAGCTGGCAAGTACTAGAGCGAGAAGTTATGACCTACTTACAAGCCCTATTGCCTTTATTTACTTTCTCTAATGTGAGTCATGTACTCATTAGAGCTGGGTGGACTCAGGGACTTGAACTTTGAGTGAGACATCGAGGTTAGCAGTTAGCTCAAATATTTGCCCACATCGATCATTAGATCGCTCTATCGCTAGGCCAGGCCATCCTGTGTCACTGTCATGTAACATAACCCCATAGTTTAGTGAGAAGACACTCAATAACAAATGCAATAAAAATAAAATAAACATCTTTTCCAGTTTACCCATCAGTTGGGCATGAGACTAAATCCTCTAAACCAAATGTTCTGTTTGTGGTGATTGATGACCTCCGACCTACTCTTGGATGCTATGATTATGACGAAGCTGTTCTTCACACGCCTAATGTGGATAACCTGGCCTCAAAATCCATCTTATTTGAGCAAGCCTTTGTCCAAGTAATTATTATGTGATTATATTGAAGCCATTTGAACAAAGTTATTAGACTTGATTCTTGAAGTTAAAATATCAGAAATACAGCATCTCATTATATTTCAGTACTATAAGTCCTATGTAAAATTAATATATCTCTCCCTTAAAATGCAAAGTAAATATATTTTGGACCTGCTGGTTAAACTAGCAGATGTTTGTAGCACTGAGCTCATGTGCTTTTGTGGCAATGTTATACAAGGGGAATTTTGGTCAATATAACAGTAACATAGTAAATTGACTTTTACTTTTAAATATAAGGTGTATTGGTGAGTTTAGGGATGTCTTGAGCCTGAGCCAAAGACCAATTTATAAGCAGGGCAATATAGAAGCTGAAGTAATAAGTACTACACATTTCACAGCTTTATTATTGTTAAGGATCATTTAGTATTAAGTTACTTATAAATGATCCCACAGCAAGCCATATGTGGGCCCAGCAGAGTTTCTTTCCTAACAAGTCGTCGACCTGACACAACACGATTGTATGACTTTTACTCCTACTGGAGGGTTCACGCTGGAAACTTTACAACACTGCCGCAACATTTTAAAGAAAATGGTTACATTACCCAGTCTATTGGCAAGGTTTTTCACCCAGGTTAATCTTGCTTGGTCATTTGTGTTAGGTTAATCTTGGTTGGTTATTTGTGTTAGGTTAATCTGGCTTGGTTATTTGTGTTAGGTTAATCTGGCTTGGTTATTTGTGTAGGTTAATCTGGCTTGGTAGTATGTGTTAGGTTAATCTGGCTGTTAGTTGATTTAGGTTAATCTAGCTCACGGGTTCCCAACCTGGGGGTCGCGACCCCCCTGGGGGTCGCGAAAGCCTTTCTGGGGGGTCGCCAACTGGTATACTAAACCTTAGTAATTTGAAACAAAACATAAATATTTAGAAGAATTTTTGAAATTCGGCTTTACTAACATCACTGGAAAGGGAATAGAGAAGAAGCAAAGCGTACTGTACAAAGTTGTTCTCAGTCACGAGTTTATGAAATCTTCAAAACTAAAACGTCATTTGAGACGAGTCATTCGAATCACACCAAAAAAGATATGGAGTTCTTTCGTCGGTATGAAGCTAGTTGCAAACGTCAGAGACTTGATCGAACAGAACGTTTTCACCAACAAAACACAGCATTAGTGCAAGCATCACATGAAGTCGCGACAGAAAATGCCAAGCAAAAAAAAAAAACACATTAGGAGAAAATCTCATCAAACGCTGCATGTTGAAGATGGTGAAGTTAATTTTTACATGTCCGTAGATGTTAAATAACACATTTTTATTGAAATTAAGCGTTCACCATTGTTTGCTTTTCAAGTTGATAAATCAACAGTCATTAGTTCGTGTTCGCAGTTGCTGGTCTTTGTCTATATTCATGCAGATGATAGCAAAGAAGAGTTGTTCTTTTGTGAAGATAGCATGGAGAAAATAATTTTTTTTTTTTAAATTGGATGATTAAAATGGGTTAAAACGGCTGTGAGGGTTTGTGCGGATGGTGCACCATCTATGTTTAGGTCAAAATCGGGCTCTCAGAAAGCAGAAAAGATTTCGCTCCCTAACCACTACCCTCACCAATCGCCATCAAGACTCCATTGCTGGTATAAGTGGTAAATTATATAAAATCTGGAGCCTTCAAAGAACTGAGCAAAAACATTAATATAGATCACAAGGTTCTGCTCTTCTACACTACAGTGCGCTGGCTGTCAAACGAATTGTTGTGAATCGTGTTTTTGAATTGAAATCTGAAATCAAATTGTTCTTGGAAATGCAAAGGAAACAAGACCTTTTGGTATACTTAAAACGACATAGAGTGGTTGGAGAGAGTATCATACCTAGCAGATGTGTTCGAACATCAACATAAGCATAACCTGAAGCTTCAGGGAAAATGAGCGAATATTATCACTTTCCATGATTATCTCGGGGCATTTTATCAAAGCTGCAAAATCGGCAAAGAAAATAAATCTTGGAAATATTGTAAATTTGAGAAACTCTGCAGTGTGGTAGATGAATCTAATTATGAGATAATTAAAATTTTGAAAGAAGAAATTTCTGGGCATCTTGAATCTATTAAAAAAGAACTGCAGCGCTATTTCTCTGAGCTGAAAAAAAAAATCTGCATTGACGCATTATCCATTCTCTTCTTCCCTCGATGTTTCCAGCATTCACGATGAATTACAAGATGAATTCTTTGATTTGTTGAATGATTCCGCGTAAGATAAAAAACTGCACACTCAATTTTGGTGTAGTATTCACCATTCATACCCAAACGTAAAATTGATTGACTTTTCGAGAATAGATTTTCAACACTATTTTTCGATTAAAAACAAAATTAAGATAATGATAATGACATATGTTAGCGTTAACAAAAAACAATACTTTAAAAAAAAATTAACCGCGAATGTTGAGTGAATAGTATGCAATTTTACTCATGGTATTAAAACAGTTATCAAGAGTAGTTCATATTGAAAGTCTACCAAAAAATCTTATTTTAGTGCTTATTGATTTCCATAATAATTTCGGCTTTTTAATTCTATGGGGGTCGCGGGTCACTTAATTTTTATAAAAGGGGGTCGCCACTCGAAAAAGGTTGGGAACCACTGATCTAGCTGTGTTGTTTTTGTTTGATCATGAAGCAGAAAAACAACTCATAGTATAGGATAATGATCATATATAACTCTAGTTAATATATACGTTGCATTTTGTTAGTTTAAGTTTAAGCTAAACATTATTAAGTAATTCACTATAGCCTATGATACAAAAAGAAATAGTTGCATTGAGTTTGAATATCAACTGTGATTGCCTTTGCTGTTAGTTGTGATCAGAAGTTTGTATTGTGCTCACCTTCTAGCCACAGGCTCAGTTTTTTAAATTTTTGTGTATTTTGTTTTCCTCAGATCTGGCCTCTAACTACAGTGATGACTCGCCATACAGCTGGACTAACCCACCCTATCACCCGTCTACTGAGAAATATAAAATGTCAAAGGTTAATTAATTCTTTAAATTTTTAAAATTAATAATAATAATAGAAGAATATATTTAATGATTAAAAAACCAATCTAGTCTTTGATTTTGTTTACTTCCTTGTTAGTCACTTTAAAATGTTCCTCTTTAGGTGTGCCCCAACACAGATGGTTCTCTGGGCATGAACATTGTCTGCCCTGTTGAGCTGGACCAGATGCCCGAGGGAACATTGCCAGATATCCAGTGCGCAGATTTTGCTGTTGAGTTTTTAAAGAACATGACGACAGAGGAGAAGCCTTTCTTCCTTGGTGTTGGATTCCAAAAGCCCCACATCCCGCTGAAATATCCTCAGGACTTCCTAGGTGTGTTTCAGGTTTATTTACCTTACCTTAACTTTAAAAAAAAAAAACCTTAAATAACCTAACCTTTCCTAACCTTAAATAAACGAATCTGATCTAACCTTTAATAACATAACCTTACCTTAAAATACCTAACTTAACGTAACCTAAAGTAACCCAACAATATAAACTTACCTTCAATAACGTAACCTAACTTCCCTGGATTGCAATAACCCCATTGAAATATTCAACGCATCTTAGTTTTGTTTCACATCTGATCTACTTCACCTAGATTAAAATGTAGTTGCTAGAGAAGTTAACATAGTGTAGTCCTTTATATAAAAAACATGTACCTACATGCCCATATGAATGTAAATCATAAAATATTTATTATTTTTAGACTTATATCCACTCTCCAAAATAAGACTAGCCAGACATCACACTTATCTGCCACGGATGCCTCTTGTTGCATGGAATCCATGGACAGATTTAAGAGAGCGAGACGATGTACAGAAACTGAACATAAGTTTTCCTTTTGGGCCGGTCCCAACAAATTACCAGGTCACTGATGCATTTGTGTTAACTCTTTACAAACCATAACTTTGTATCACATAAATAATAATATTTTGACATGATTTAACTCTTTACAGCCCATAACTTGGTATCACATAATAATATTTTGACATGATTTATATGAACTCTTTCCAGCCCATAACCTTGTATCATATAATAATATTTTGGACCTGTCTTTAAACAAACTTGATAAAAAATGTTTCAACCCTAGGTCTTCCTAAGAATGAAAAACATTTTAATTCACAATTAAATTTTTAAAATGTCTTCCAGCTTCTGATGAGACAGAGTTACTACGCCGCCACATCGTACATGGACTCACAGCTTGGCAGAGTTTTGTCTGCCCTGGAGAAATACGGATTTGCAGATAACACAATCATATCTTTTATTGGAGATCATGGTAAACTATATGGTTTATATCACAATATTTTTAAAAAAAATAGTCTTGACAGCCCAACTCCTCCCCACTTCAGCAAAATATCTCCCACCAAATCCCACATTTTTAAACACCATACCCCAATTCTAAAATTATTTTAATTTCTTGAAATTCTGAATCTCAAAGACTTACCAGATCAACTTTTGAATTTCCTAAAAAAAAGTAAACAAAATGAATGTCAGTTAATTAATAAACTTAATATCTAAGTTTCAAGTTGCTACATGTAGTTATTATTATTGAATGAATAGTTTTTTAAAGACCTACAATTCTCTCATGATAACTACTAACTTGAATATTCTCTCACAAAATTGTGTGCGCAGGTTGGGCACTGGGTGAACACCAAGAGTGGTCCAAGTACAGCCTGTTTGATGTGGCAGCCAGGGTTCCTATGATCATCTACATCCCAGGACTTACCCACACAAGGCAGCACCAAGAGGAAACTATTTTTCCCTTCTTCAATCCTTTACAATATGTTCACAAGGAACACACACAACCTGGGACATGGTTAGAGCCTGTCAGCGATGAGAAATTAAAATTTAGGTCTGAGCATGAAATGAGAAATTTAATTCCAGAAGATGTCAAGCAAAATGTTACTGGGTCAGTTCCTGATGGTGTTCAGGAGAAGGGTGTTCAGCAAAAGGGATTTAAAACTTCAGCTCTGGTTGAGTTAGTGGACTTGTTTCCCACCTTAGCTGAACTGGCAGGTTTACCAACACTTCCATTATGTCCTGAAAATCCTTTCAGCACCTGGCTATGCACAGAGGGTATGAGTTTAGTCCCTTTGATTGAGAACGTCACAAAAACTCATGTTACAGAATTTGACCCAACTATCCAAAGAGATAAATACTTGTCTACCAATACTGATGAAGCTGTTAATGTTAAGGGATGTAATTCTGAATCTTATGAAAAGATAACTATTGAGAAATTAGCATCAACATGTCATCCAAATTTTACCTCAATGGCTGTTAGCGACAAGTGGAAAAAAGCAGTTTTTAGTCAGTACCCTCGGCCATCAGTGGAACCACAGGAGGATAGCGACAAGCCCCACCTTAAGGACATCCGCATCATGGGCTACAGCATGTGGACCCAGGACTTCCATTACACGGAGTGGGTCGGGTTCCTGCCTGGTAACTATTCCATTCTCTGGCAGGACCTCTACGGGCAGGAGCTTTACCTGCGGATGCTTGACCCGTATGAAGTTCACAACATTGCCTCGTTCAAACATTGCTCTGGCCTGGTCAGATTTTTGTCTGACCAGTTACACAAGGGCTGGAGGGCAGCCCTGCCCCATTAGTTATTTACCTTACAGTCAGATACATGCTGTATTGATAATTAAAAGAAGAGATATTGTTACCCATTTTTCAGGAAACAGATTTGTTAGAGGAAAATATTTCCTCAAACATTATGAAGAAATTTTTTTTTTAAATAATTAGATTTTTTTTTTAAAATTTCCCATTTACCTGTATTAAATGCCCATTCCTTGGGTTATTTGGGGAAACATGATAACGCAACCTGTTTCCAACATAGAAAATAATTTCTGTCCATGAGGTTGTCTCTGTTAAAAGTTTTTCAAAAGCTAGAGGCTGGCTTGGTGCTTTGACACAATGCTCAAATCAAACTGTGATTTATTTCATCCAAAACTGTTATTTTTATAACAGAATGTGAAAGTTGAGCTAAGTTCTACTGCTGTCATCTGATTGTCTTACATCTTCACTTTATCTATTCTAATATTCACACTTATTTTCACTGACGCAAAGTTAAAAATAATAGATGCCACTGGGTTTTAAAGAAAATTATGTCTGTTATGAATGTCAATGATTTGCCAGTACAACTTTAAAAATTTTGTATACAATATTTTGATTTGCACCATACATGTGTACTTATATTCTATAATCTTGTACCAGATTATTTTGGGTGATACTGGAGTAGTATCTGGCCAGCATTTACTTACCTGCTTCAATTGAGAGTCATCTGCTTCAGTTCATTTGAAGAATATTTGTTGGGTTTCTGAAAGGCTATATTATATACATTCCAGTTTTGTACAGTATTGCTTTAACCATGATTTTGGAATTTGACTTTATTAATTACAGCTTGAAAGTTTACAGATTATTTTTTTTTAAAGATTTAAGTTGAAGTATTTTTAATGAACTTTGCCAGGAGTGTTACCTGTCTCATACATGAGATATGACACCTGTGTATCAGACCAGGTGTCACATGAGTGTCACACAAGGTGTACTACCTATATATCATATACCAACTGTTTTATCTGTCATCAAGTTTGTGTTTGTTTTTCACACTCTATTTATGTACAAACATTGTATTCCACTTTTATTCTAACACACTTTGCATCAGGGTGAACTATATTTTTGCTTGCTATTGTACACAGTTCATCAAGAATTTTGTTATATCAGTATTATATTTATGAATTATATACACAATTTTATATTCATATATTTACAGTATTTACCAGTATATTATTAAATATCTCTACATATTTAAAATCTCCTGTGTTGGTTTTATGTTTGACATAAGATTTGATTTTTCAATTATTCCCACCCAAAAAATGTCCTTAAATCTGTGGTTTATTCATTTCTTTGTTTGAGCAACACAACCAATGCACACTTTAACATTGCTGAGTCAGATCTTTAGTGGTAGATTGTGATTTTTTATAATCTTTTAACTTTTTTTTTTACATTTCATTTGTGGTTTGATCAAAGATGATAAGTACACAGTATTATAATAGCTGAAACACTATGTGTGTTTTTAAAAATACTGTTTTCTTTAAATTTAAATAATATATAAAACTGATTAAAAAAATAAGGTATATTTTATGTAAATTCTGCAATGCAATTTAACTTTTTGCATGGTAGTATTACATTTTCTAAAGAAACATTGTATACAACAGTTCTGAACTAAAAAAAAACAAAAAAACTTGGAGACAATGGGGTTGACTGAAATACTTCTTATTTCTAAGCATAAAATAAAAGTTTGGGGACATAAAATTTTTCTGTTCTGTATTAAAACTGTTATTCTATAAAATTCTAAGTATTCTATAGAAGTAGAATTTACAGTGAGGCAGAGAAACGCTCATAAAAACAAAAAATCAACTTGCACAATTTTTTTGTGTGCATTGTTTTTTATTTGTAAAATAAAAGTGCCAGTTAATAATCTGATTAATGATTAAGATACAATTTGTGCTGATAGTAATTAATTTGTGGGCCTACTAAAGTCTTCATCATTGATAAACTTGGTTATCATTTCCAATGTCCATTCAGGCTGGTCAATAGCTGACCTGTGACCCGCGTTTCTTATCACAACCTGCTCAAAACAAAAACATTACATTGAACAATTTACCAAGACTCCAAACCTCAACAATTTATAGTAACCAAGGACGATAACCCTAGAAAATAAAGTGAGTTGCTTACCCTTGTGAATGAGTTGACTTTGGTGACGTAGCCAGCCACTTCTCCGTGCTTGTCTTTCCACGTGACCTTATCGGCTTGTAGGTAGTCGTCTCTCCCTGACCACGAGAGGTCGCTGAGTAAGTGCTCAGTCATGAGGGTGCTGACCACTAGGTCCATCTGACCACTGAACATTAGTACCTGAGGAATATCAGCCGTTAATTATTTACATATCACCTTCTTACAACTAACTTAATTACATCTACCCAGTTTACCTGATTGTATGTCACATAATTACACAACTAATTACACCTCACCTTCTTACACCTAACCTGAGTATATTTTAACCAGTTCATAATTCATGCATTTCTCCCTGTAACAACATATTAACTTAAGATTCAACCTAACATGACTATATCTCACCTGATATAGAATCACTTTAAAATACACATAATTTGATAAATTATTACCTGATTACATGTCTTCTTATTACACATCACCATATAATTACACCTCACTGTGTAATTACACCCACCTTGTAATTACACCTGAATGTGTAACTTCATTTCACCATGTAATTTCACCTCTTCTTGTAACTACACCTCACCTTATAATTACACCTCACCATCTAATTACACCTCACCATGAAATTACACCTCAACTTGTAAATATATCTCACCTTATAATTACACCTCACCTTATAATTACACCTCACCATCTAACTACACCTCACCATGAAATTACACCTCAACTTGTAAATATATCTCACCTTATAATTACACCTCACCTTCTAATTACACCTCACCATCTAATTACACCTCACCATCTAATTACACCTCACCATGAAATTACACCTCAACTTGTAAATATATCTCACCTTATAATTACACCTCACCTTATAATTACACCTCACCTTCTAATTACACTTCACCTTATAATTACACCTCACCTTATAATTACACCTCACCTTACAATTACACCTCACCTTATAATTACACCCCACCTTCTAATTACACCTCACCTTCTAATTACACCTTACAATTACACCTCACCTTGTAATTCTCCAGCAGAAGCTCCAGCTCTGACACGACCCCTGAGAAAAAGTCCCCGGCCATGGTGAGCGGCATTTTGTCCGCACATTTCGTGTACTGTGTTGGCCGTACGTGTAGGGCATGCTGGACCTCTGGCCGGTTCAAATAGTGCTCAAAGTGCCACTCATATTCCTGCAGGATGGACGGGGAGTAAAACATGTAAGTCTGTTGCTGGGAATGTTCTTCTATAGACTTACTGCCATTGTACTTCAGAGTTTGATGTAAAACATTTATATGATTATAGGTTGTAATGCTAATCAGTGGCCTAGCGAGGTCGGGTGTCACCCGGTGCGGCACTTAATGGTGTCACCCCCCCCCCCCCAGAGGCGTAGCGACCCTTCCCGGGGACAAATTTTCGATTTGCACCCCCCCCCCCTCAAGTTTTCGATTTGCACCCCCCCCCCCCCTCAAGTTTTTCTCTATATATTTTGCTATTTTTTGCTTTGGTGTCACCTGGTGTCACCCCCGCCCCGCCCCTCGCTACGCCTCTGATGCTAATTAGCTCAATAACAAAATTGCAAAATCTCTATTGTCACCGGCTTCACAAAACCATGTCATTAAATATGCCAGAAAAAAAAAGTGAAAAGTTTCAGGAATTTTTTTCATAAAACTTGTAATATTTTGTAAAATTTGTTCTGGCAAAATATAAGTTGCCAGAAAGACTTGTTTATGATTTTAAATTGCCAGAAAAATGATGGTCGTGATTAAAAGTGGCCAGAAAAAAATGAGTAAAACCCAACCTTTGTAATCAAAAGATTATCAACTTCCTCATATCCCAACTTTCTGCGTGAGTTACCAAACACAATGTCCACAATGTCCTGGAAGAAATAATTAACGACCCCTAATTAGTAAATAGGTTAAGTAATTATGTCATTAGCCGGATTATAAATGCATCATTTTAAGATTAGCTGATGACATCATTTACTTGACGCTACGTGACTCTGCAAACCTCGCCTCGATTTGAAAGGGTGTGTTTTGGTTTTTAAAGAGACAGACGGTCTGTTCAATGATGGCTGGTGGCTTCACCGGTCTACTCCTAACTAGCCTAACCAGACATCTTAAATTCTATAGAACTTCGACTTCAATAACACACACGCATTGTCACATATTAAAATAAAGTGGTATAGGTGTCTCCAATTTCCTTTATGGGTCTAGGATCATCGAGTAATTCTTTATGGTGTATTGCTTCCCTTGATTATTTAGAAAACGACTTGAGTTCCCTCCCTTTAGCTTACCGTCACCGCCTCTTCGTGTTTGGCCAAGTGGCGACTTTTGTCAATGGAGTACTGAATCTTGTCCACCATCGCTTCTTTCTTTCTCTCTGTCAGCATGCCTACAGCGGTCAGGAACTCAGGGAATACAGGTAGCATCTGGGGATAGAGGGGAACACAGGTAGCATTAAGGGAGAACAAGTAGCATTAAGGAACCACAGGTAGCATTAAGGGAACATGGGTAGCATCTGAGGATAAAGGGGAACGTAGGTAGCATTAAGGGAACACATGTAACATTAAGGGAACTCAGGTAGCATCTGGGAATAGAGGGGAACCCATGTTACCATAGTATCTGGGGATAGATAGGAACCCAGATAGCTTCAGGGGATCGATGGTACCACATATTGTAAAACCCACCGACCAACCAGGGAACCACATCCTTCCATGTCTCTCACCTTCTCTGGACTACAAAAACCTCTCACGTTCTAGGGCTACACAAACCTCTCACCTTCTCTGGACTACAAAAACGTCTCACCTTCTCTGGACTACAAAAACGTCTCACCTTCTCTGGACTACAAAAACCTCTCACCTTCTCTGGACTACAAAAACCTCTCACGTTCTAGGGCTACACAAACCTCTCACCTTCTCTGGACTACAAAAACGTCTCACCTTCTCTGGGAAACCTCTCACCTTCTCTGGGCTACAAAAACGTCTCACCTTCTCTGGGCTACAAAAACCTCTCACCTTCTCTGGGCTACAAAAACGTCTCACCTTCTCTGGGAAACCTCTCACCTTCTCTGGGCTACAAAAACGTCTCACCTTCTCTGGGCTACAAAAACCACCTCCGATGAAAATCCCCTTCAGGTTGACCAGCAGACGTGGCGGCTCCTCCTCTGTCGTCTGCTCCTGGTGTATCTTGTGGGCAAACGCAGGCACGTACTTGCCAGCATACGACTGTGGGACGTCTGGACGTTAGCTACGTCTTACACACTCATGTTTTAGCTACGTCTTACACACGCATGTATTTGGTCGCTACGTCTTACACACGCATGTATTTGGTCGCTAGTTACACACGCATGTATTAGCTACGTCTTACACACGTATGTATTAGCTACGTCTTACACACGCATGTATTTGGTCGCTGCGTCTTACACACGCATGTATTAGCTACGTCTTACACACGCATGTATTTGGTCGCTAGTTACACACGCATGTATTTGGTCGCTAGTTACACACGCATGTATTAGGTCGCTCTGTCTTACACACGCATATATTAGGTGGTACAACGGTCTTTAAATACTGGTTAAGTAGAAGTGTAAAGACACTGACCAGGCCACCAAGGTAAAGGTCATTCTGCTGGAACTGGGGGTAGAGTTGCAGGAACTGGATCAGAAACCTGGACACAGATCAAAGATGTCGCGATTTATTTTTCAAATTTCAATTTTCTAATTACTTTTGACTAATTTATATTTTTAACAGCGAGACCCATTTGGGGGTCGGTATAATGAGCTCATGCTATTGCCGAGGATGTTTACATCTTTTCCATTCTGCTACATAATTTTAGCATAAATTAACATGTTTTCATCATATTTCTGCTTAAAAAAAACCACGCTGAGTTAACTTTATAACCCCCCCCCCCCTCCTCCCGTTTCCCATGTTGCATGGGAAAAAGCCTGATCCTTCAAGGTGTGACGTCCAACCGTTCACCCCCCTTCCCCCCCCCCCCCCCACACCCACACAATTCGCATTGACATCCAGTAGATAGATTCTCGGACAACAGAAAAATGTAAAAATGTACCCACTCATACAAAACACACACAGAAAATATGTACCCACTCAAACAAAAAACACACAGTAAAGATATACCCACTCATACAAGCTATCTGCAACTGCCAGATTTGTTTTCAGCTCTGTGTCAGGTTTACAAAAACTGAAGCCAACACCCACCTGAAAAAAATTCCAAGTTTTGACAAACTTTAAAAGAATAGACAGATCATAACATTGAAATAAAATTTAATAAATCATTAAGTACATTGGTTTTGTGTTTTATGAAGTTTGACAGGACAGTGAATAATTTCTAGAAAATATCAGCATATAATTAAAATAATGGATAGAAAGTAGAAAATCAAAGTTTGTGCGTCATGCCAGTCCACCAGCTCAGTTAAAATATGGTGCCCTCCACGTCTCCAAGAACATTTACCAAATATTCACCATACTTGAGACGTAATTCATCAACGTTCCCCTCCCCTTAGCACTTTAGTTGTAGTGTAACTCAATGAGTTGAGTAATACTGTCTTAAATGTATGATTTCCGTCAGATACATGTATTCTGTAGGCAGTGATTAGCAGTGATTAGTTATTAAGAGATCATTAAACATGTCTACTTACAGGGTTGTCAACAAACAGAAGAGAAAAATCTTTTGCCCAGTGAGTACTTTTTTCAGCAACTATGAGATGATGTAATAAGAGTGGGAAATGTGTTTTATTAATGTTGCAAAGGTGAAGGATACATACTTTTGAACAGTACGTTTATGCCCTTTGTATAAAAAATCATTGTGACATTAATATAAAATATATTTCTCGTATAGTCGAAATTCATTGCTAGTAAAGACAAACATCGCGAGAACGTGAGACGTGACGAGACTTACTTTCTCCATCAGGGCCAACCTTTAGCGGCCCCACCTCCTCAAACAAGCCAATCATTGACGAGTTGCCCGGGCCTCCATTCAAGTATAAAACGAGAGGAGGTTTCTCTGACTTGGCCTAACCACAACAACAATCTTTATTTCAGTCAACAATTTCAACTCTAATACGAAGAAAAAGTGGTATGTAAAAAATTGCACGACTAAAGTTTCATTGAGCTCCGATAACAGACTCACATTTTTGGCGGGAAACAACCAGAAGAACAAGTTGTGCTCCAGTTCTGGGTTCACTGTGATGTACCCGGAGTAGCTGACGACATCGACGTTCGGTAGAACCACGCGACTTGCTGTCAGCACTAAGGGCGGGAGAAAAATATGGCTAGAACTGAATCGTATGCGTTACAATTGATTGCTTAAGGCTTGTGTAGGAGTTGTGAATTTAATTTGGGTATTTTCACGATCCTCTACCCCTTTAGCAATAAGAATTAATCCATAACAGTGCCGAATCGATAAAAAACTAAAAATACAAAACTTGTTGAGATGCGATTATTTCCCTTTAAATAAAAACTATAACGTTATAGTAAAAAAATTTAAATAATTTTAAAATGTATCATGATATTGATTTATTTTACAGGTATCGTGAATTGATGTTGGCTCATATTCCAAACCCGCTCTCACAAACATCAACCGTTTCTTTTTTTTTCCCTTGGTTTATTTTTGAAAATGTATGTACCTGCAAGCTATCCCCTCCTACATTACCCCCGCCCTATTTAAAATCTAGAATTTGGAATTACCGTCTTCTGGTGTCCTGTTATCTTCCAGAAATTTTGACAGAAACAACGGCTGGCCTTCTGGTTGGCTGATACCGACATGACAAGGTTCTTTTGATTGGCTGATACATTCTTCGTCACAATTTTTTGATTGGTTGTGGCATGTCTGACCACATGCCTCTGATTTGCCACAACAAGTTTCATCACTTTCTATAGCCGCCATTTTGTATGAAAATGTTTCTCCAAATATTGGCCTAAACATTTAGCAGAGAACAAAAAGAATAAATTACTTGCATTCAATGTTTAAATATTAAAAACTAAACTGGGAGACGCAACTAAAAACGAGAAAAATAAGGAGTTCGACGGTGCTAAGTAGATTGCCACAACATTTGTATAATAACTTACCAACATTAAGTATAATTGTATGAAGGCTGTTTTCTCTAGGTATGCCTTAACGGATATCCTTATAATGTACTCATTGGTGGGGACATCGTGTTAGAGACCAATAAGTAACACATGTTATATTCTGATTTACAACGATAATCTTTGCCTCGCTTTAATCTTACATATTTTTATATACACATTTTCATGGATTAGTCATGAAAATGAAATATTTATAATTATATTATTATTATATTTTTGGTCATATATATATATATATATATATATATATATATATATATATATATATATATATATATATATATATATATATATATATATATATATATATATATATATATATATATATATGTGTGTGTGTGTGTGTGTGTGTGTATACCATGCTTTTAAGCCTGTCCACCCCCGCCCCAGAAAATAAAAGAATCTAGTTTGGAAATACTCCAGCGGCGCTGATTAAGGAAGGATACAAATACAACATATAACATACATTGTTTGATGTTATTCAGATACAGGAACAGTACGACTAGGTCATTACCAATCGATTCATTGTAATGCGATATATTTTTCTCTTATCAAATTTTGTACTTTTAAACATGTCTTTAAACTTTATTTCTCCGTTATAATGTTTACATATATATTTTCATGTATGTTTACGTATAAAATTTACAAACGAAGCTGTATTTTTAACGTTTAACACCTCCACACCCACACGGAGTTTGGCCTCCCAGTTTGGGAGCCACTGCGACAGGGTCTATTCACATCGCGCAGACTTTTCTTGAAGGTAATTAATTTAATAAAAACACACACCAAAACTTACTTTATTTAGACAGTGTATTCCGACGAATTAAATAAATTAACAATAAAACTTTTACACAACTATAAGATAGCACAAACTAAAATGGGTATGTGAAAATAAAACAACCTAAAAGAAATATGTGAATATAAAACAACCTAAAAGAAATATGTGAAGATAAAAGACACTTAAAGAAATATTGTGAAGATAGCACAACCTAACAGAAACCAAAGAACCACCTCACACGACAGTGTACTGCTGTGCGTCACTAGACTCAATGAGTCCCCAGCTCCCACAAGATCGTGCTTTGCTTATTTAATTGATGTTGATTTTTTTCAATGGAAAAATCAACTCTAATAATAACAAGCATTATGGGAGCAGGAATCGATTCGATTCCTTGGTATTTTTAAAGACATTTCCGCTGCTTCATTCCCCTTTTAGATTCTCTCCCCTTGTCGAAAGATAATTACTGACAATGAAATGGCAGTAACATTTTTTGTGGGTTGGCAGAGACTTTAGTCATTTTATTGACGAACCCAGTCTAAAGAGAGACACTAGACTTGGTGATCACATTTGTGAACTCAGATCTTGTTTTAAATCTTGTGGATGTTGCAACTTGTTGAGTTGGTTCCCTTATTCAATAGACATCAGCAAAAACACCCTTCTTCTTGTACGTCAGCTCAAAGTTTACAGGGAAACTTAGTACAACACAAATTGATTTAACAACCATCACCCCACCGACCCATTTAATTACATGTAAGGAGAGGCAGTTACCCCAAAGGTTAAAGGGGGCACCGGGATTTTACTGATTTCACGGCTAATCAATTCACCACTGTCGACTGCGAAGGTCGTTTCTACCCACCCCCTTCCACCCCACCCCACCAATAAAATTAAGGAGCAGTCGTTATGTTTGAATATACCTAGGTCAGGTACAACCCAACTTTCTGGGGTTAGTGGAGGCTATTTTGTCGGGTATAGTAGAGCAGTATTCCTGGGGTATTTCTACCCCCATTTAGAGAGGTTTGTTTTGGTATTTCCTGGGGTATTTCTATCCCCCCCCCCCTCCTTTCAGAGAAGTTTGTTTTGGTATGTCCTGGGTTATTTCTACCCCCCTCCCCTTCATAAAAGTTTGTTTTGATATTTCCTGGGGTATTTCTACCCCCTTTAGAGAAGTTTGTTTTGGTATTTATTGGGGTATTTCTACCCCCCCCCCCACTTCAGACATAAGTTTGTTAGGCTCATAAAAAATATAATTCAGTACCCATTGAACCTGGGTTGGTGGCACTTTTCTGGGATCTGGTGTAGGACATTTTGTCTTGTTGGGTTTAGGACATGTTTGGGGTCTGGTGTAGGACATATTTGGGGTCTGGTGTAGGACATTTTGTCTGGTTGGGTTTAGGACATATTTGGGGTCTGGTGTAGGACATTTTGTCTGGTTGGGTTTAGGACATATTTGGGGTCTGGTGTAGGACATATTTGGGGTCTGGTGTAGGACATATTTGGGGTCTGGTGTAGGACATATTTGGGGTCTGGTGTAGGACATTTTGTCTGGTTGGGTTTAGGACATGTTTGTGGTCTGGTGTAGGACATTGTTTGGGCTTTAATACAGGACATGTTTGGGCTTTAATGCAGGACATTTTCTGTCTTCTAGTTAGCCGCCATTCCCATGACACCCAACACGGTAAAACACTGACGTCAGCAAACAAACCCCCGCCCTCCCCCCCCCCCCTCACATATGCATACACACATCAGCTATATTTAAAATCACTTGCCTCTAGCATGCGGCTCACAAGGTTAACATCACCAAGGTCGATGACTTAAAATTCCTGAAGGAAACCGCCTGTAGCCAGCAACAATGCGAGTGGTCTGTTCACGGTGTGTGAGTGCTGTTGGATTATCACGACCTTACGTCACTCGCATCGATCTTTTACTGCCACGCCGGGGTCGATATTGACCTACAAGTTTAATACAGTGGTTCTCTAGCTGGGATGCTTCATTTTTTCCAGGGTAGGTAGAGGAAGGGGGGGGGGGGGGGAGAAATAAACATTAATAGAAAAAATCATGATGATTCAGTACCAAGACAAAAATTAAGCTTAAGCCCTATGTGTTTAGTATGTGTTGGTATACTTGGATAAAACGTGTGTGAAACAAAGCTTTTATTTTAATATGGTCATCTTGTAACATAAACAATAGAGTAACTCCAGTAAACTCTGGTGTAAAAGGTTGCCCTTTAAATCATAACGCATCCTGATTGAGTATCATTATATCAAGATAGAGCTAAAGTTACTTATACTGCAAGTCGCAGGATATTTGTTTTGGTTTAATTAGCTTATTTTCTGTAACATGTTTCTCTGATCTGCACAACTGGAGCCTTACTTAAGGCTAATCATCATTCTGTTCAACCTACTGTCCCCCCCCCCAAAAAAAATATAAAAGAACGAAGGAGTGGGACGGCGTGGTTGATCGTTTGTGACTGTAGCTTGTCCTTGACTCCTCCCCTCTGATGGGTACCTGACTTAAGTTAGGGAAAGTAAATCCGGCTGGGCATTGTGCTGACCACACTATCCTTACATATGTTGAGGTCAAAAAACATCTCTACTTCATCTGCCCAGAAGGGAGTGTAGCAGGAACGTTGGAACCGCTGAGATGTTAATTTTATTGCTCTCCCCTTACACAGTACGCTACAGACCTGCTAGAATTACCATAATAAACCCTAGCACAATTTACCTACATACTTTTTAGATGGGGAACGTTATTTTTATATTTCTAACAAGCTTAAAATTTAATGTACTAATGCGACAGTCTCTTGACTTCTTTACTCACGCAGATAAAAAATACAGAAGTTAACCATAAGAAGACTTGAGCATTGTTTCAAATATTTTATTCTCCATCAGCAAGCACTAAAGAGTAGAACCAACACCAGACACACGTGACCTAACACTGGTCTAATTGATTACAACACTCGCAACAGCTGACTTTCTCGTGGAAGATAAGGGCCAACAACTCCACTATGTTGTTACACAGCAAGCTTCATTCACACAATTTAAAGGCCCACAACTCCACTAATGTTACATAAATAGGAAGCCTCATTCACACAAAGTTAAACCCGTGGTTGGCACAACCCTACATGAATGACTTAAGTGCAACTAGGACCACTCCATGACACTGATGAATGAATGTTGAGAACATGTATATTTTAACTGAGGGTCAAATCAGAACCTGAGATCTAGATGTAACTTACACATCAATAGAGATTATATCCCGTACAGTTAGCTTAGCGTGACCACCTCCTACAATCAACATGACTTAACGCTAGCTATTCAAGGGAAGCCGGACGTTAACTCCCCACTTAAAGATAGATCCGGGTAAGGATTGGTTAGAGAGCTGAATATGCTCCAGGGGGGGGGGGGGGTAAGGGAAGAGGAGAAATTAAAACCCAATGAGATTTGGAAGAGGGGGGGGGGGATTAATAAATGTACTAGACCCCCCAGTCAATATGTCCATGGCATAAAAAGCTGGCTAGTCACTATCTTTAGTGAGATTTATCCCAGTACTAAAACGTTATAACCTGTACATTGCATTATCAATCAAAAAAATGTAGCAAAAATACGTTTAATTAGTGGTAATCAATTGGTGTAAACAAAGATGGAAGACTAATGGTAAACCAGCATGCATTCTATAAGCACTCACAAACTGTGTTTTATAGATCTGGGGGTACATAGCAAATTGTGTTTTATAGACCTGGGGGTACATAGCAAACTGCAGCCAACATGAAAAACAGGAGAAGTCAAAATATTAGAGACATGCACTGGACCAGTGATATAAAAGATAATTTGACACCAGCCACAGGAAAGAAGCAGAAAAAAAATAATAATTAAAAAATCAGACTTGGAACCTTCCACCATTTAAAGAGCCATCACACATTCTTAGATCAAACAAGCCACCAGTCTCTGTGTATGTCATTATACGGGGATAAAATATACAGGTCATAAAACTTGGGGTTCATAAAATGTTGTAGCATCAAAGTTCAAAGTAATGCAGTCATTGTAATGTTTGCATCTGATACATATAATAAATCTAAATCTTGTTGAACAAAATCAATAACCAACAGTATGTACACAGCAATTCATAAGGGGAGACTGACAAATGTCAAGTAGCATTAAATGTGGGGTACAAACAGGTTTTAGCATAAAATGTGAAACATATGGCACATATGTGGGCTCTCATATGAGAAGATAAAATCAGTAACTATCTTACATCATATGTGAAGTGTTACGTCTAACTAACAGACAGTATTTTGTTGTATGTGATGTCTAATCTGTCACAATTAATATTCTTCATAGCCAGACATCAAACCTCATCATTTATCAGGTAAATGTCAAGTCTATCAACCTGCCAACATTATTCTTCACTATTGTCACTTCCATATTTTTCCTTGCATTATTATCTGAACACAAATCTCAAAACATAACAGTATATACATAGGGCGCAGTGTAGGATTTCATTCAATGTTACATTTCTTCCAACACAAATTATTATGACTATGAAATACACGCAAAGTTTTCAGATAATTACAAATGCATGTTCCATGTAGAAAAAATCTCTTCGACAAATCCAATACATAAAAAGAAAGAAAAAAGTACAATCAAAAGGCACAAAATTTATAAAATAAATTGTCTTTTTTCAATCAAGAAATTAAATAGATTTTAAAAAAAAAACCTGAACAAATTAACCAATAATTTGATGATTGTCCAGTAATTTAAAACAATTACACACCACTAGTGTAATTAAAAAAAAACCTGTTTAAATTGAAATGGCAACCAATCACAGGTTCCCTCCATTCCTGAGTGGTTACCCTGCTAACATCAACTCACAAAATGTTTCTAAGCCAATAATACTGAACAGTACTTTAGAAGGGTTTCATTTCATACCACAAGATTGTAAGCCTTCACACTGTTAAACAACAATACTCAAACAAACCTCTTTTAGATGTTACAGCCAGCCTTCATTTCAACAACTATACTTTATGATACATTATTAAGTGTACTTGTTTGCCTCTAAAATATCTTAAGCAGGTTAGTGAGCCATAAACTACATTTAAATTTAATTACATGGGATAAACAGATCTACTTATGGTCATCAACCTTCTCCCTCATATGCTGACTGCTGTCTACACATCCTATCCCCAATCCTTCAATCCCTACAATCCTCACATGGTCCTATAATCCCCAATCCTTCAATCCCTACAGTCCAGTCTTACAATCCACCACAGTATACAAAATATTGATTTTAACAAAAGAACAACCAGCATAGCATAAAAGCACCTGTGGCTGCTAGTGTTATTCAACTTAATGAAACAGCCTTCATGCAATATTGGTGATGTACAGCACTGAAGCATTTAAGAGCATATATTAATAACTGAAAACAAACAGCTTTGCAGTGGGAAATTTCAGTATTACACTGAAGCCTACATCAGTACTGAACTATCCCGCAACTCTACAAGTTGTGTAAAGGTAGGCAACTCTGGAATGTAAAAGCTATTTTTTAAATTTAAAAATCACCCTCCCCCTGGCTACAAAATATAAATAAATTCTGAAACCTATGATCTAGCATAATGAGTAATATATACAAACAACAATAATCTCTAGATTGTGAATATCACACCAAGAATGGGCAAAAGAATAATGTCGTTCATTAAATAACAGAAGGAATAGCTAGCAGTAACACTTCCATAAATGGTCATCTTAGTGGACAACATTTCCTTAAATGGTCATCTTAGTGGACAACACTTCCATAAACGGTCACCATATGGAGCATGTTTTTAGTGATAAAAAGTGTCAAGGGAAATGAACAAATTACATTAAAATGATATCTCATTTGTTTAAAATTAATCTAATATGTTTAAAATGATATTTCATATATTTAAAATGATATCTAATGTTTAAAATTATATCGAATGTTTAAAATGATATTTAATGTTTAAAATGATAATATATTGACAAATTTACAGCTAAAAGCTGAGTGAAAGATTAAAAATGTTGCCAACAAAATAAAATTGGCTGATACAACTCCAGCATCAACAACAATCTCAAGCTTTTAGTTGTGTAACAAATAGTAATAAGGTTCAACATTTCAAGAAGAGAAACTTGTGTGCTTTAATGTACAATTATTAAAACTGCTGTACTTTTTAAATGCCAGCAAAGATAATAAAAAATATCATTATCTGAGAACAGATAAATAGAGATAAGAACATGAATATTGAGATTTGTGTTTAAACTATCGTTTAAAATACTGCTATATGTAAATTAAGTTTCAAAACTTATGTACACAGAGCTTCAACTGGTTTATAATAAAAAAAAAAAAAACTGAAAAATTCTTCAATTTTAGTAAAGCAAAAAATGTTTTTTTTTACAATTTAATAACAAAAAAAAAAAAAAAATGATGTAAGTGAAAACAGATCCCAGTGACCAAGGCATCAGATCTGACCTTAGTTTATTCCCATTGAATGTCTTTTTCATTAGCTTGAGGCACAACCAAAAACAGTTTTTGGAAGAAGATGTTAATAAATGCTGAAATGGATATAAAATACGTGGTTAGACAAAACTTTTTGGATACATTTTAAACGTAACCTGGTAGGTTCATGAGTTAATCAAATTCAATAAAAAATTCATCTTAAACTACAATTATTCTTATATTTTATTAGTATTGTAATTATTAAACTTACTAATTTTTGATTGGATAGATTCCGGCTTGTTTGTCCACCTATTGCCGATGATGTAAAGCACTGTCCCCACTCCCACCAGCCCCAGGGCCAGTAAACTTTCTGTTGTTTTTTGGTAAAATGTGAGGGCTACGACGGCCAAGCTGACCACACATAGGACAGCTGGTAGAGCAATAGGAACCTGAAAGTAAAGGGTTAACAGGTAAGGACAGAACTACAGGGAATCTGGTAGTAAATGGTTGAATACTTGTCTTTATCCTGAAAGTAAAGGGTTAACAGGTAAGGACAGAACTACAGGGAATCTGGTAGTAAATGGTTGAATACTTGTCTTTATCCTGAAAGTAAAGGGTTAACAGGTAAGGACAGAACTACAGGGAATCTGGTAATAAATGGTAGAATACTTGTCTTTATCCTGAAACTAAAGGGTTAACAGGTAAGGACAGAACTAAAGGGAATCTGGTAATAAATGGTTGAATACTTGTCTTTATCCTGAAAGTAAAGGGTTAACAGGTAAGGACAGAACTACAGGGAATCTGGTAATAAATGGTAGAATACTTGTCTTTATCCTGAAACTAAAGGGTTAACAGGTAAGGACAGAACTACAGGGAATCTGGTAATAAATGGTTGAATACTTGACTTAATCCTGAAACTAAAGGGTTAACAGGTAAGAACAGAACTAAAGGGAATCTGGTAATAAATGGTTGAATACTTGTCTTAATCCTGAAACTAAAGGGTTAACAGGTAAGGACAGAACTACAGGGAATCCGGTACTTGACTTAATACTACGGAGCAAGCCCCAGTGAAGGGCTACAGGTGCACTTCTCCAGCAAGCCCATGTAAGCCCCACAACCCTGTTGGTATTTAACAGCCCTTCCTCTAATATTTTTCTAGGCCTGCACATTTTTTCCCCCAGTGGGTTCCCGTCCAACAGTGTGAGATGTTTGAATGTTGAAAAAGGACTTACCTTGATAGGCCTGGGCATGTCAGGCTCCTTGTAGCGCAGCCACACCTGTCCGGCGAACACGATGGTCAACACAGAGGCAAAGCCAAAGCCTTCCATCTCAATAAGGAACCAAATGTCATCCGACAGTTGGAAACACAATGTTAACGCAAGCTGTTGGTAGAAGATCAAAATGTAAACATCAACATACGGTGATATCACAGGAAAAATTCACATCAAGTCAGCAAGAGAAATACTCTTAAACTTGATGTGTGAAATAGAGTGAACAAGACTTAACACTTACAATGATGAACAGGGAAGAGGCTGGGGTTAGAAATTTGTACTGAATCATGGACATAAAGGCAGGCATGTGGTTATTTTTAGCGCCAATGAAGAACAACCTAGAACAAAAATTATAGAGATTTGTTATAGACAAAATAACGAAATTTTATATTTTACATAAAACTTAAGCCTTGTAATAATTAGCCCTACGTTTCTAAAGTAATTTTACCTAGACATTGAGAGTGCTGTCCCATTCATGGTCCCACACACAGATATGGCAATCAGGATTGGCATCAACCACTGCATGACCCCCATTGTATGTTCCGCAAATGTCTACATGAGGGGACGAAGATTTTCAAAATAAAGTCTTTATGTGAAAAAAAATGGTTTCTCAGACTTGATAAGTGAATATGGATTTTTAGTGAAAGTGTGATGGAATTTTCATAGAAAAAGAATATTGATTTTTTTTTTTTTGCAAGCCAATGAAAAATTGTTACATCTACATTCTAGGTCTAGAAATTATCATGTTAGTCATGAGTATTTTAAAAATTTTAATACAAATTTTTAAAAATTCTTAATACAAATTTTAAAAAATTCTTGTGTTGACTAAACATATAAAAACCTTACTTATAACAATTCATTGAAAATAAAATAAAAGATTAATTTTTTAAAATAATAACTCACACAATTTTAGAGACCCCTTTACTAAAGAAAGTTTTTTTTAAAAAATATCTTAAGTGCATTTAAGAAACCTTGTTATTATAAAGGTTTTTGTATCTGCTTTATAGAAGTTTGTGTTTACAAGGGTTTTAAAAAAAAATGAGGTTTATAAATACAATGTAATTTGTGGAATGTCTAACATAACTATAAAAAAGTTATCTTTTAATACATGTGTTGACCACTTGTTTATGTATGATGTAATTAATGTAATATTTGATTAGAAAACAATTTGAAAAGTCGACAGCAGAAAGCAATAAAACACCTTCAGCACAGAGCTACACCTACCACAGCAACAGCTGTTGACTGCAACATCTGGGCAGGGGATAGCACGGCCAGGTAGGCGATGTTGGTGATCAGGTAGACACAGATCACTGTGATCATAGAAATCATGATGGCCAATGGCAGATTTCTGGGGAAATACAAGCATGTGTCATGGGATCATGATGGCCAATGGCAGATTTCTGGGGAAATACAAACATGTGTCATGGGATCATGATGGCCAATGGCAGATTTCTGGGGAAATACAAGCATGTGTTATGATGGCCAATGGCAGATTTCTGGGGAAATACAAACATGTGTTATGGGATCATGATGGCCAATGGCAGATTTCTGGGGAAATACAAGCATGTGTTATGATGGCCAATGGCAGATTTCTGGGGAAATACAAACATGTGTTATGGGATCATGATGGCCAATGGCAGATTTCTGGGGAAATACAAACATGTGTCATGGGATCATGATGGCCAATGGCAGATTTCTGGGAAAATACAAGCATGTGTCATGGGATCATGATGGCCAATGGCAGATTTCTGGGGAAATACAAACATGTGTCATGGGATCATGATGGCCAATGGCAGATTTCTGGGGAAATACAAACATGTGTCATGGGATCATGATGGCCAAAGGCAGATTTCTGGGGAAATATATACATGCTGTGTGAAAACCATGATGGCCAACAGATATTTAGAGAAATACAAGCACAAGTTAGAGGATAACTGGCTATCAGATTTATGTAGAAACATAGATTATTGTTGAATCTTGGCAACTAGCAAATTCTGGTCAATAAATACATAATCAATGGCTCCTAAGTTGTGAAAGGCTATTTGAAAATACAAACAAAAACAGTCACAGGCTAACAGAACAATGAAAATTTCTGACAGCCTCAGTGATGCTACAGCAAGCAATGGGTTAGCATAACTAAACAAAAACTTTCAGTAATTTTCTAAACTTTTACCTGTTTGGGTTGACAAGCTCTTCAGTGAGAAAGTTTAAATAGCTCCTGCAGAGAGAAAAAGTATTTGTAAACCTGATAAATTATGACTAAATCTAACTTGTCTTTTAAACAATGATATTAAAAGCAAACCTTTTATAATAAACTTTACTTAATCATAGACTAACATAAACGCAGGAAAGTAGCAAAAAGACAACACATAGCAAGAGATCACTAAATAACAATGGAACGTACCATCCACTGAAGGCCCAGAACCCTGAGTAGAAGGACAAGGCAAAAGCTCCTGCCCCATAATCACTCTCTGCAAATGAATCTTGGAAACTTTCTCTGTCACCTACAGAAAATGATTTTAGAATCAACATTCTAACTCAATGATTTAAAAGTTCTAGTGCAACTTTATACCAGTATAAAAGACTGGACTCTATATTTACCAGACTACACCGTATCATACAATAGTGAAGGAAATAGGAACAAATATCACCACCCCACACCAACAAATGGGATATTTTTTCATCTTCAATTAATGTTAATGAAAATATTAATGATAATAGTTTACAGAATACCAACTTAAAATACAGCTAATTCCTCCCAACCCACATACAAACTACTCTCAGCTAATTTTAACAATTTTAACCTTTTTGCCTAAATACATCCATATAAACCACCCCTGGGTACTTGCCCTCGCTAACCTTTGCCTAAAATGATAACAGGACCTACTGTCTAAATATGAACCACCCCTGGGTACTTGCCCTTGCTTACCTTTGCCTAAATACACCATGCCTATAATGATGACCAGCCCTAAAGCTATCAGCTTGGACGCTGTGATGACCACTTGGACTCTGGTCGCCCATTTGACATTCCTCACGTTGACGGAAATTAAGAGCCCTGCAACAAAGTAAACAAAATTAATTATCCTACCATTTGTTTGAGATGAAATGCAGTTAATTTAACTTGGCAAAACCTCCAACAATACTTTTACTGTTCAGCATAATGAAGTATGTGAATTATAATTATTGATCAATAAATTATTATATTTTACAGACGAGCATGAAACTGCCTGCAGCTTATTATAATTTACATTGTAAACGGATGTGTCCTGCACAAACAGCTAGGCTAGAGAACACTAGAGCTGCAATGTGTTGTACAATAAAGATGTGTCAACAAAGGATTTTATGGATCCATGTTTTACTGATGGGAAGTGGTAAAATTAATAACAACCATGCTAGACAGGGTTGTACATTTATATGATAATGCTATTTGAGCATGACTTTAGGCACACCTCCCCCACAACGTCCTAAAACGTAAGACCTCCAACACACAAGGTTAAGCTTCCATACCAACCCATTAGCTATGCTACAGATCTAATTGTGACATTGAAGAATGCTTATTTATTCATTACTATATTTAGTCTTTAATAAATGAAAAGTGTATGTTACTTTTTTCATCCATCTGCCTCCCTCTCTCTCTCCACCAACCTCCCCCCCCCTTTTTTTTTTGAAGTTATCTATAAATAAGAAATCTCCCAGTCCCCCCCCCCTCCACACGTGGACAACGTCACTATAAAATACTTTACACAAAACACCAGTACACATAGAATAAAAACATTAACACCGAAGGGGTGGTGTCACGGAGTAAACATGAAGACAGTGATGTTATTATAACTGGCGGTACTTTGGTAAACAGGATACTATTTTTGTCGAACACCGCATTTCTAATCAACTAGAACGGCTAGGGGAATTCCCATTTTACGTCAACAAGCCAGTAACAACATCTGAATTAAGACAATCAGAGTTATACTAGGAACCACTTACAGAAATAGAATTTTTCAATACAAGATAAATACCCGAAAAAAAAACTTAAAAAAAATGGTGTCGTTTTTATGGTGAGCTAGACTTTATGCATACAATCCCTGAATATTTAGTGATGTGAGTCAAAGATAATTAGTTTTGTTAACGGTAAAAAAAATTAACAATGGGCTTCCCGTACATTAATATACACTGATGGTCCTTTAATAGGTGGTTGACAGGAAAGGGTTGATTAGCATTGTGTTATCGCATCAAAATGTTCTTTTTATTTTATTTTTTATTTTATGTAGATTTATTTCAATAAAAGCGGTCGTCCATAAACGATACTTCCTATTTCATTATCGTCAGCACACCCCCCCACCAATCTACACCGCCTTCCCCCCCCCCCCCCCCCCACCTCGGTCAGCCTTCAACGCACCTCTTTTAAAAGGTTTTTTCTATTTTAAAACTGAGCTCGACAGAGAGTATATTGATCCATTTTTTTATTAGTCTACCAAACAAGACACACTGCAATAGCGGTTAGAATTCAGCCTCAAACATGACGTCACACTTTCTTAATCCCCCCCCCCCCCCTCAACCAATTGGAGTGTGACGTCATATATGGACGACCCTAGGTAGCGTGCCTTGTCCTAGAAACATTCAACCACCCAAGGAGAAGAGATGGGTTTTCTAGGTATACATAAAGCTTGAGGAAACGTCTACCTTTACATTGATGGACTTTAAACATACACATTCAAACGTCTATGTAACAGTAAAACTAGACTATATTCTCTTTCTCTTTTAAGGGATTTTAGCATTTTAAAAATACCTATTACAATAGTGGGACTTACTTCTCTATCCAGAAACAGGAGGAATATTGTTTGCCAAAAGTTAAAATGTTTTTTGTTTTGTTTAGGAATTGAAAATGTTATAGCCTTTCTTAAAACCACATGTGTTAAAAAATATCTTCTGACGTCAATTACAAGCGTCTCTAGACAACAACAGGGGGGGGGGGAAGGTAAAGATAAGATGTTATCTTGACTCAAGTCATAATAACTGAGGTTAGTTTTAAAGGTTAATGCATGTTCGAGTGTCCATTTAAACAATCTACGCATAAACAAGATTGTAGACCGCCGGTGAACACAGCGTACTTTACACCTGTATTAAAGTCTCCGTTTAAGAACGTGCGTCAATGACATTTTCGGATCAGACAAGTTTTTGGCAAAGTTTCTAGGTTTTCTCAAGGTTAACATTAGCATGCAGGGAGGTGGGTTTACAAGCCCACGGTTCTGAAGGTTAATTTTATCCTGTCTCCTGGTAAACATCGGTCTCTTACAATAGCTGTAACCACGGGCTAATTCTTGGGGTTTTAAGACGGTGTATTGTTAGACAAACACAACAAAGGGACGTAACTCTCCTAGACGGTCAGGATCACCTCCCCTTGATAGAGCGAGTGAGCGTTATCTACAGCGCAACACACCGTTTGCGATGTGACCTAAATAAATTAACGGTATCTGACATCGTGACCTAGAGTTTAATGACCAGGAGGAAAATATCCCACTGACAAGTGAGGGAGGGGGGTGGGGGAAAGAAGGAGAGACAACTAAATAATGTATTACCAATGGGGTACTTTCCATAGTCCACGACAAACTAACTGGCTGATAACCCGACTGTCGTGGAGATAACGCAGACTAGCTATGAGAAGAATAAACTCTACCCAGCACGACCCCAATAATGAGAAAACTATCCCATGACCCAACCGAATATCGAGAAAATGACCCTATGACCCACCACGACCCCGAGTATTGAAAAAATGACCCTATGACCCATGTCAACCCTTACTGTGAAAAAACTAGCCCCTCGCCCCAATACAATAATAAAACTATTCCCTTTGCCCAGGAGCCGAGCCAAACAATCAGACAATGGCCGGGGGTAAAGGGTACTAAAAGTGGACAAACCTTCCATCAAGCACAGATTGAATTGAGTATTTCGGTCAATGCTTTCAACAAAAAGAAGGCAAAACCGTTGAGAAAAAGTCGTCCATAGAACTCTGAACCAGAAATCAGAGAAGAATGCGGGGAAGAAAAATGATGATGTGATATGGAAGGTGAGGTCTAAGACCTGGAATCTGTTGCAGGCAGGTGAGAACCGTCACCACAAGGTAACACTCGGGGGATCTGGTTCAAAGGTGTAACTTAAATAATTTCACGGCAAGAATAAGTTATGACCTCAATTCGCCCCCCCCCCCACCATCTCGAAAGTTGGGCAAATTTTTAACGACCGTTAATCAACAACACCATCTGTTCAAGTAGTTAATGACCCCGACAAACGCCTAATTTAACTAGCCTAATTTTGTTGAAATAATTTCAAAACAACTCTGTTCCGCCAATGTAAGCAGACGATAAAAACGTACACGTGCACTCTTCGGATGGCCGTACCGCAGGGGGGGGGGGGGGCGTTTAACACTGAGATACAGGTTGTACCTCAGGCAGCGTTTAACATTGATTAAGATGCAACATATGGCGTTCAACAGAAAAACAACCAGCTATCTCATTTAGTACTTTAAACACTGATATTATTTGTACTTGTAGCCTACCTACATCCATAATAGTGGCACAAAAACTTTCAACTCTGGTAAATACTTATGTAAATACATGTGGTTAAAATTCAAAGCAAACCAATCTAGTTATACTATTTAACCCCAACCCTTTACAGGCTAAAAAAAAGTACTAAAAGGAGCACGTGTATATATTTTTAGAAATAGGGTAACAGTAAAAAAAAAGGGGGGATGGCCCACTCCCATATACTAGCTAGGCCAATGCAAAAATTTAATTTCAGTAAAACAATATAATAGTTACATATTTGGATAGGGGCTGTCAATCTGATTACAGATCAGTTTGAATTTTCAAAATCTGACCATAAACAAAAAAGTTATGAATTTTTTTGTCATTAAAAAACAGCAGTTTTTTCAGACAACCGGGGTAGACCCTGAAAGAGGAAAAATACTGGGAGGGTATGGACCAAATTTTTAAGAGTTTTTCACTAAAAGTGGTATAAAAGCAAGTAGACTTCACCAATTGATATCATTTTAGGATATTTTATAGATTTTTGTATGCCGAATCCAATGACGCTGTTTTAAAAAGTGTCCTTCAATTACATAATCGACTAATCTCATAGATTATGTAATACCCCCCTTTAAATTTTTTTAAAACATCTAATAATCAATGTGATAAGAAGTCATTGTTTAAATGTAACACTGTTTTAATCTATAATATGATATTTATATATGCTGAAGATAATGGTAGTATTTAAAATGGTCCAACATTGTTACATAACTATCAAATGTTAAGGTTATGTAATACCACCCTTTGCTCAAAATATACCATGAATTAGTTTTGAAATCACTTTTGTCAGTTAACTTCAAGTTAATAGCCTACTTAAAGAAAATATAACTAATCAAGTTTTACAATACAAAGAGAAGAATGCTATTACAATAGTAAATTTGTGATTATGTAACTTCTTAAAAGATGTTATGTAATCTATGTCCAATACTATAGGCCTACTCTATTCCAAAAATGTAGGCCTATTTCATTATAATTTTATTTCTTGTTATTTTAAATATCATACAACTTTTTGCTATAGAATTAGTCTAGTTACAAATGTGTCAGATCGGAATCAGAGTGTGCTTGATGATAATTACGTAATATTATTATCCATATTAAAATTAATAATTTTTACAATTTCAATAAAATAATTTTTGGAGGAAAATATTTTTTTTAAACTTGCACAAGGTATAGATCTAGTGTAAGTTATAGGTTTATAACATAAATTTTATTTAAGCCCAATGTTTATGCTAGTAGTAAGTAGGCTTTTGTATTTTGTAGGCCTTTTACAATTAAAAATTTTCTTAAGAAAAAAGCACGTGTTTGAGTGCTTGACTGTGTAGATCTTGTAGATTCTAGAAATTGTGTAAGATTACCGTGTTTGCCTATACACAGACACGTGTACCACCACCAGCTTTTGCCTAGATTTTGTTTAATCTGACTAGCCAAATCTTCTGACCAACGAATTTTATTGCCCTATTACGTAAACACGACCGCTGGATAGGCTAGTCGGCCAACCCGATGAACGTGTCAGACGAATATTATGTAATTTCAGAGACAAAAGTCTGGCAAGATTTCTTGATCTTTGCCCGAGGGTTAGTAACATCAACTCCACAAAGTGAAGGGGGAGGTAGGTGGGGTATGAAACCACCACGAACTGAGTAGGTACCGTACGGGTGTTGTACAACATCAAAGGCTACGACCGTCGGCTCGTCGCGTCACGGACTAGTGGGGGCGGGGTGAGGCTTACGTAGGCTATGGGTGTTACATTGGGTGTTATACAGAATGCCCACCCACCCCATCCCTTTTTGGTCAATTTGGCAGGCTACTATCCTCCACGTTGTTAAGCGTATGTAGATTCTAAATGTGTAGTGAAAAAAAAGGGGGACCGGGAAAAAAATTTAAAGCCGTTTTTATGAAAAGAAATGCTCTAATTTTAAATGAAATTAGGGTGCGCAAAACGCACAATTGTTATAATCGGACAGTAACCATCTGGATTAATTTTAAAAACAAGATAAATTTTAACCCTGAGCCGTAAATATTAATAAGACTTTTTTTCCCGTTTAAATGGGTAAGGACAAAATTATGAAACATGCCTGTCGGCTTATAGACCTAATCTATATAAAATAGAAATAGCCGTCGAGTCTAACACGGGAACACATGTAGGCCTATCTATCTTTAGAAATTGTTTACAGTATCATCCAATCGGATCGACCGCCTAGCGTCACGTGACCAGGCATTCGGATGTGCCACACTGTGTTTAGATCGACACAGCAGAGCAAGCAGTCGGACAGCGGTCGGCGCGTTAATTTTAATTTTTGCTCCAGTTTAAAGTGTATGGGCGGCTTTATTTGGGGGTATTGTAGAAAAAATCATACATATAAATAAACGTCCAGATTTAAGCAATGCAGCGCAGGGTTCAAATTAAAAATTGGTCTGTAACTAACCCGGGAAACTTGGTTCAACTTTGCTGTACGATATCTCCGAAAGTATTTAATATATTTTGACGACGAACCCTGCGCTGTATACCCCTACATCTAATATGTATTTCTGCCAAGTTTCACTGTTGTAGTATGTAAACTCGATTCGTGTATAAAAAATTTGTAACGCGTCGTCTGTTTAAAGACGGCGATTCGAAGCACAGCCGAGCGGTTCAGTCGGACAGCGGTCGGCGCGTCATGTTTTGATTTTCGGTCCACTTCAAAGTCTATAGACGTCTCTATCTTAGGGCATTATAGTACAAATCATACATATTTATAAACGTCCAGATTTCAGCAATACAGCGCAGGGTTCAAATTAAAAATCGGTCTATAAATAACGCGGGAAACTTGGTTCAACTTTGCTGTACGATATCTCCGAAAGTATTTAATATATTTTGACGACGAACCCTGCGCTGTATACGTCTGCATCTAATCTGTATTTCTGCCAAGTTTCACTGTTGAAGGGCGAAAACTCGAAGAGTCTATAGACTCAAAGTAACCACCCTATTTTAAAAAAGTGAAAAAGCCTCCCCCTTAATCGGCACGTCGCCGCGGGGGGTAAAAAATGCGATTCAATCGGCGATTTCTTCAACGTTTGAAATCATATTAAAATCAAACTTATACAGTTTAAAAGGTTATTCAATTACGAACAGAATGGTGTATAACATGTTAATATAAACACAATAAAAGCATGCAAAAAATAGAGTTGAACATGCAGGGGGTAGGGAAAAGCCGATTTGTCCGATTTTCTCGGCAGCGGCATTGGCCTAGCTACATATACAGACAAAGAGCTGTAGCAGCCTTGCTTACAGGGAGTGCTAGGCCATTAGCACACCCCTTCCACTCAAGCATGGTTGTTGCTATAGAAGAATCAGAAAGTATATCATAGCAGTAGCACCCTATGCTAGAAATACTATATTCTAACTGGCAACTCAGTTGATAGATCTATATACTAGTTTACAAAAACAATTTTTTTCTGGCCACTTAAAATCTCAAGACCATATTTAAAACATACATTCTAACAAAGCATCTCAATTCACATACACACGTTTTTAAATGTAGAGGCTTGTAATGCAGCTACAGGTACTTCACAATTCTAACCAAGCTTGTGTTAGCATAACACAGTAGAAAACATGAATGATTTATTGCCTGAGCCTTGTGCTAAGGACAAGACAAATGGACCCTGTATCATGCCTCAGTATTGTAAAAGAATATTTTAGTACCTCTATTTGTAAAATAATATTGCATGATAAAAACCAGTTATCAAGAGAACACTGGAAATGAACTAAAACAGAAACAGTCAATCAATCCTAACATAAAGCTTGATGAGCTGAGGTTGTGGCCATGTTGACAAAAATGGAGCTTTAAGCTGAAGACAGTTGGGTAGCAGTTATAGCCACTTGGGCATAACACTGTCACTACACTAACCCAGTCAGTATCACATATAGATCCTAACCCTTATCTTGTGAGCTGTTGTACAAGGCACTAATGTACTGGATATTGTGGGTTTTTTTAAATTATAAATATAGGTTGGACTGTAGTAGTCTAGTATTTTACAATTTTAAAACAGTTTACAAAAATATCAGCTTTGTAACTAAAATGGCTTAAATAATAAACTTTCAATAAAAGAAATTCCAATTTTTGCACAACTAAAAGGATATATTCACTGACTTAACATACAACAGTGACAAAAAGACTACTCACACAATAAAATGAGGGAACAAAAAGACTACTCATACATTAAATAGAGGTAAAAACTCACACACTAAACAAAGGTGATATAAAGACTACTCACACACTAAACAGAAATAACAAAAAAACTATTCAAACACTAGGTGCAACAAAAAGACTACTCACACACTAAAACGATGGCTATTAGCCTCCCAGCAAGTTGTGGAACCTCACAGTCTGGGAATATCGGCTGCAGAATGTAGAGTGATGCTATCAGACTCAGAGCAGCAATGCCCACTGGACATATCAAAGTGAAGTTGATCCACAAGCACACGAAGGACAGGTAATCTCCGAAAGCACGCTTGATGTACACGTACTCCCCGCCTGACTGTGGCATGGAAGCACCAAGTTCAGCGTAGCACAGCGCACACAAAGTGTTGTACACTCCGCAGATGGCCCACATGATCATGGACAGGCCAATGGATTTCGCATGCATGAGAATCCCAACAGGGGAGACAAAAATTCCCGAACCAATGATGATGCCGACAATAATGGCTACACCCTGGAAAAGGGTGATTTGCTTCTTTAACTGCACGCCGTCAGACATTTTTTTTTCTAATTTCTTTCACTAAGTAAAAAAAAAAATATGTCCTGATTCAACAATCAGTCCAGAATAACTGAATAGGACCTCTGTATTGGTCACAACATCTGTCAGATCATTACAACATCAGCAGCAACAGGAAGCCATCATCAACTCAGCTGTGAATGTTAAGTACATACTTTGTAAAATTTATGCACATTAATTACTTATTAGTACACAGACTGCCTAATTATTTATAATTTAAATAAGAACACAACACAATGAACTATCAAGTATCTATGAACTATGAATGAAAAACTCCAAATAAAGGCTTAAAAAGAGTATTTGTGAGTCATGAGTATTGATTATAAGTAATCAATTTAGGTAGGTAAAAGTAATTAATTTTAGTCTACTACGTCTACATCTTGCTTCTTTAGTGTGATTGACTTTGAAAACTCAAAAGACTATTCAAGCTCAATTTGGATATTTAAAAAAAAAATTAAGCAGTAAAGAGATGAAATATATCCTCACTATGAAGGCTATTCAAAGCAAATTTTTTTTTTAATTTAAAGAAAAATGTCATTTAAAAACTAGGCAGTAAGCCTAGTTAAAATACATCCCCATAAAAAAAAAAAGAAAATAAAGGACAACAGGAAGGTTAAATAGTAAATACTCAATACATGATACAATGATGGGATGAACTAAATATTTCTAACAAACACTATGCCCAGCCATTTTTACTTTACTTTCCCTAATATGGGTTAGGTACCCATTAGAGCTGAATGGGCTCAGAAATGCTCTACTGACTAGAACCCGGATTTGAACTCTTTCTTTTAACAGTCTAGTGCTCTACCACTAGGCCACACTGTCCAATGGGGAGACCATGACAGGATTTAGGCCCTAATTTCCAATGGGGTAGGCCTATACTATAGATTAATAGATCTAGAGACACACTCATGCCTGAGTCACAAAGATCTAGAATAGATAAATAAGATTTAACTAGTTAACCTAGACTTCTAGCTAGATCTAGGACCTAAGAAGTGATAAGTTAAATGTAGTGTAGAGCCTGCTAGATTTAGACTTTACTGTAAAGTACTGTAAACTGTAACTTACAGTCAATTACAGCAGTTCTTAGACATCTTCTCAGTTTAGAGTTTAGGGGACCGTTAGAGTTAGACCTATGGATGGGGCCTGTTAGCTAGACTAGTTTTTAAAATCTTTTTTTATTTATTAAGACAGTGCCAGATCCAAATAATAAATATGCCGCTAATACTGGGCTGCCAGTTATTAACAATTATTAACAGTACTAAAATACAAACCACGTGTGAAGCAACATCATTGACATGCCGGCCTAACAAAACCACACGAGTTACTAAGCACTGACACACACCGTGGCGTTTGTGTGTAGGCCGTAGGACCAGATTTTCTAGAGACTAGGAGTGTTGTGTTTTTGTAAATTAGCCGTAGATCTAGATCTAGAATCTACAACCGAACAGTATCTTCTAGATCATTTGGAAGTTTAGAAAAATCAAAACGCGAAGATGGTTATTGATAGTCAAACATATAAAACAAAAATTAAAAAATTACAATACCGTTATTTCACGTAGCAACACGTTCCCGCCCAAGCCAACTGCGTATCAACTCCGACATGTGTTAGCTGCTAGCGAACATGGTAGACTCAAAGGGAGGTAACTAACAAATACATTACACTTGTGTAGTAGAATACTTAGGCCTAAGGTGATGATGCAACTGCCTGACAGACATGTAGGCGGAAATAATTCCACTATCGATTTGTAACGAAGAATATTCAAATTATATTCACTAAAATATCAGAAGAATAATATACACACATGTACTATGTAGGCATTTTGAAAATAATAATTAAATGTTTCTTCCTACATAATCGGGCTGGCTTATTTAGGCCATTTACGCTTTATTGAAATGCAGGATGTAATATTAATAGTATGTCTAGACTAGATCTATATGGGGTCACATTGGGGTGATTGGTCAAAATGATTTATTTTGCTCCTCAAATATTTTGATTCTTCAACTGTCCTTGAACAATTATTTATTTTCAAAATCAAACACATCTCAAATATTGAAGCTTTAAACTGGGCCAAAGTTTTTTTTTAGTTTTTAAATAGGGTGGGATATAAAATTATAGTAAACAATGTTGGTACATTTCACTGTTCGGGATTGTATAGGTTTTATTTCAGTTGTCACCGACATTGTTTACCTTGAAAAAGGGGACTTAATACACTAAAAGATTCCGTTTTATATGTGACGGGATAAAGTCCCTTCGTATTTTCCAATGTCCCAATTTACATGCTATGTGTAGGCCTATTGGAAATGCCATGGAGTTTTTGATTAAAAAAAAAATAACAAAGACACACAAAGGCTCACAACTGTAGACACTACTCTCCCGAGCAGTGTTTCTTCTAGACTTTTTTCTCCGGGGGTGCACTTGAAATTATCTGGGGGGGGGGGGGGGGCGGAAACTGTGAAAAGTATAAATTTGTCTATATAAATTCCATTTCGTTCGGGGGGGGGGGGGCGGTAGACTTTCTTCGCGCTGGCCGCGTTTATTTCAGTAGAGAGATGTTTAAGCGTGAGTATTCCCTTCAAAGCCAAGCTGCTCATCCCTCGTAGGGTCACGGTGCTTTGTGTAACGGCGATATCAGCGTTAGTCTTCGGATCCTACACCATCATCTACTGTATATACCAAGTCGTGTACGAATACAGCCCGGAGTTCAACTCCAGTGTGGCCAAACTTGCCTTCACCCAGCTGTATATCAACAAGTCTGACGTCATCATGCGCTACTACCAGGCCATCGCCATCATCTCCCCCCCCCCTCCGCCAGTTTTGTCGTCATCTCTACCTGTTCCTACCTGACCGTGTTCTACCTGAAGAAATTGTCACGCTTCGTCACACACAAGTCCGACCCCACCAACGACCAGTCCACAGCGATGATCTCCGCCAGAGAACGGCAGGTGGTCAAGACGCTCCTGACCGTGACCTTGGTCTACATCCTGAACCTGTTCCCCCGAGTCGTGTTCTACGTCGCCCAGGTCGTGCAGCCAGAGTTCTACCTGCTCAGGTGGTAGAGCCCGAGTTCTACCTGCCCAGGTGGTAGAGCCCGAGTTCTACCTGCTCAGGTGGTAGAGCCCGAGTTCTACCTGCTCAGGTGGTAGAGCCCGAGTTCTTCCTGCTCAGGTGGTGGAGCCCGAGTTCTACCTGCTCAGGTGGTAGAGCCCGAGTTCTTCCTGCTCAGGTGGTGGAGCCCGAGTTCTACCTGCTCAGGTGGTAGAGCCCGAGTTCTACCTGCTCAGGAAATACAACGATCTGTTCTTTGTCACGGTGTCTTTCATCTTTATCCTAGACTTTCTGAACGCTTCCATTCATTTGTTTCTCTTTCACGGGATGAGTTCAAGCTTTAGACGTCACTTTAAAAACATCTTATGTCTAAAGGAGAAACCACGAAACAAATGAGCATCATCAATGCATGATTCGATTTATTGCGGGCTTGGTCGAGTTTTGGAAAATTTAATTAAAATTTTTACTGAAAATATATAACTAATTATCTTATGTGTTTGTTAGTTTGAAAAAAAAAGTAATATAAAAGCATTGAGGATTTGTTCAGTATTGATGTTTGTATCTTAATTTTTTTCGGGTTGATATAGATAAAAAAATTATCATCAGAGTACTAGCGAATCAGTAGCGTAGCGAGGGGGGGGGGGCAGGGGGGACATATGTCCCCGGGCGCCGACCATAGGGGGCGCCAAAATGGGTTGGAAAAATAAATTGAAAGGTTGAGGGGGGTGCAAATCGAAAGTTTGAGGGGGGGGGGGTGCAAATCGAAATATCGAGGGGGGGGGGTGCAAATCGAAAGTTTGAAGGGGGGGGGGGGGTGCAAATCGAAAGTTTGAAGGGGGGGGGGGTGCAAATCGAATACCGGGATTAGAACTAAAATCAATCAAGTAAACCAAGAGCGAAAATCTCTACTGAAAATTTTAAGTGGAAAGCAATGACAGATTACTGTTGTCGTTTCTCACTTGATTGTCAATAAAGGCGATGAAGTAGAGTTACTCTGTAGCAACGACCTGAATTGATAATCAGTTCTGTCAAGCCCCTTTCAGTTCAGGTTCCCTTGGGTTAGAAGTGGTAGCTGCAGTGGTAACTCCCCCTCCCCCTTCGATAAAAATAGGAATATAAAGAGCTAATTTACATAGAAAATTAAAACAGTGTCGTCGTCGTCGTCACCCCCCCCCCCCCCCCCCCCCGAAAAATACGTCTGAGGGAAGCCCTGCGTATAGACAGAAAGACATTCAGTCAAGACTGCGAAACTATTTTTTTTGTTCGACTAATAAAGGTGTAAAGATGCTGAAGCGTTGAGATTTGTGAAAATGTCGATCATAAAACAAAAACAGCGTTTTGATCCCTGATTGGTTTTTCTTATTTTTCATATGCTGCATCTTAGGCGACACTGACATCTTGAATGTCCTGATCAGGATTTGGTTAGTGGTTAGGAAAGTAAAGCGTATTTGTGTACAAGAATAACTTATGAATCGGCAACCAGCTGTAGGGGTTGGGTTGTTAGTGTCCACCAACCCGTACACCCTGGTTGGGACATGGAGGTTTACCAAAACCTGAAAGAAACAAGTACACACTTTACAAATATTAGAACCAAACTAAAAATATTAGAACCAAACTAAAAATATTAGAACCAAACTAAAAATATTAGAAGCAAACTAAAAATATTAGAAGCAAACTAAAAATATTAGAAGCAAACTAAAAGTATTAGAAGCAAACTAAAAATATTAGAACAACCAAACTAAAAATATTAGAACCAAACTAAAAATATTAGACCCAAACTAAAATATTAGAACCTAACTAAAAATATTAGACCCAAAGAAAAAATATTAGAACCAAACTACACATATTAGAACCAAACTAAAAATATTAGACCCAAACTAAAAATATTAGACCCAAACAAAAAATATTAGAACCTAACTAAAAATATTAGAACCAAACTAAAAATATTAGAACCAATTAAAAATATTAGAACAACCAAACTAAAATATTAGAACCAAACTAAAAATATTAAAACCAAACTAAAGAATAAAAACGTGTTAATATACAAGACAATACATTTATCTATATTTACTTAAAGGTTACAACATAAGTAACGTAACATTTCTTTATTATACCTATAATTAGGGTATTAAATTTTCTGCATGTTGTCTCCTATTATAATTTTTTTTGTTTCCTTTAAATATTGCTAGAATTTGTTTACGGGGCTGTCCATCTCATTCCCACAGTAGTATGGTGCTGTCTTATTTTTTATGGTCTTTGTGTTCCTATGTAATGTTGTACTAATTGATGAGTTGGCGGTGTTTTGGGGCATTTCAAGCGGAGGGTACTTGATTTCCGCCATTCCTTAATTAGTATTGTTTTCGTATAGGAATTTTAAGGCTAACGATTCCAAAATGGTATGCAACCTTTTGAAAGTTTAGTACATTCAATAATGCTTATTTTATTTTTTTTTCTCTATTTTTTTAACCATTTGGTATTAGCAATATAATTTGCACTAAATTATACATAACTTGACATTCAATTGAGCTTATTTCCCTCATGTTTGGGGAACGAAAAAAACTTAAATCGTTTATGGTACGTAAAATCGGCCGTGACGGCGTACAGAAATATGTTTAAGCGCGTTATCTATAGTTAAAATTATATATAGATAACTAAGGCGGCTTATTTTAAAATAAACTGTCTTATAAATTTAATCAATTACAAAAATATACATTTAAATACAAATAATAGGTAAAACTATAAACTTTATATAATAAAAGAAATATCTATAGCATATATGTTGAAATTGTTAAATACTTTCTTCTTTTGTTGAGCTTGGCAGGTAATGAAGAGTATTTTCCCTTGAATAGAGCGTATTTCCTTAAAGGGACGTAACAGCATTTTTAAAATACTTTATGCGAAATAATTTAGTAGGCGTTTTAAGATGGTGTATTTTTACGAGGGAATTAAAACTATACAAATATATATATATATATATATATATATATATATATATATATATATATATATATATATATATATATATATTGATTTTTATACATATGTCCTCGGGCGCCGATCATAGCGGGCGCCAAAATGGGTTGGAAAAAAATTAAAAGCTCATTTTAGATGCAGTTTTGCATTATAAATATAAAAAATTATATGGGGTGGGGGGTGGGGGGGGGGGGGGGGGGGGGTGGGGAGTTACATATGTCCCCGGGCGCCGACCCTAGGGAGCGCCAAAATGGGTTGGAAAAAAAAAATTAAAAGCTCATTTTAGCTGAAGTTTTGCATTATAAATATATAAAAATATAGAGGGGGGGGGGCGCCAAATTGAAAGTTTGTCCCCAGGAAGGTTCGTTACGCCTCTGTCTTGTGACAACTATTGACAACTATGACCACGTGATTTGTGGAGTAACCAATAAAGGAGATGAAGGGAGAGTTACTAGTCAGGCAATGTCATAATTGAACAAGAAATCAGACATCATCAGACTCATGCTATTTTGTTAACTCTAAGTGCCATGTAGTTAAATAACACACCGGCGAAATTTCCGCCAGCGAAATTTCCACCAGAGAAATTTGAAGATAATGTACTCATACCAGAAGATGACAGACGCCTTTTGAAGTTGCTTTATACAAGCTTAGAACAGAACATGATGTTATCAAACAACTGTAAAATCCAAAAAGAAAAGCAGGCTGAAATCGGAATCAATGGCCCTCAATGGCT